CATGCCCTTTGCCCAGGAACCTCAATTCCTTTTTGTCCTTGAGTGGACAGGCCCAGAAACAAAAGAAACCTGACAATAAACCTGGGCTAACTTCCTCAAGGATTCAGGGACAGCCTTGAAAATGACACCTTATGGTGTCTATTAGACCTTTACTTTAGTCATACAGTGCTTTTTTAAAAAAATTAAAATATACTATGTAATTTTTTTCATTCCAATCTTCTCTCTTAATATTACAATAGGATTTTCCTGTTTTCTAAAAAAAGTTAGGTGAAAATATTTCATTTAGTGGTGGTATAACATTTTATCCTATGGATTTGCTATACTTTTCTCAACTAATTTCCTATTCCGATCCTTTTTTTTTTTTTGCCATTATCATAAATAACACTAGCTGAATGAATATCTTGTACATAAATGTAAAGTGTATTTCTTAAAAGTATGGATAAAAATAGAAACACTGAATGAAAGGTTATAGGTTTATCACTTTTGAAAAACATTTCTCTATCTTGCTCCAGAAAGAAACTATGTATTACACCTAAACAACGACAGGAAAATGTCTGTTATACTGCATTTTATTTACTAAGTATAATCATTCTTCAAATATTTTTGTCAGTTAAGTAAGCACATTTTTTTTTTCATTTATGTTTTAAAGAGACTAGGTATTTTTTTCTCACATGTATTTGTCTATTAACTGCTCCTTCAGATCACTTGCCCATGTTGATATTACTGTGGTGCTGCTGCTTAGTCACTCAGGCATGTCCGACTCTTTGTGACCCCCTGGACTGGAGCCCATCAGGCTCCTCCGTCCATGGGATCTCCCAGGCAAGAATACTGGAGTGACAGCCATTAAAAAGAATTCATTTGAATCTGTTCTAATGAGATGGATAAAACTGGAGCCCATCATACAGAGTGAAGTAAGCCAGAAAGATAAAGACCATTACAGTATACTAACACATATATATGGAATTTAGAAAGATGGTAACAATAACCCTATATGCAAAACAGAAAAAGAGACACAGATATATAGAACAGACTTTTGGACTCTGTGGGAGAAGGTGAGGGTGGGATGTTTCAAGAGAACAGCATTGAAACATGTATATTACCTAGGGTGAAACAGATCACCAGCCCAGGTTGGGTGCATGAGACAAGTGCTCGGGCCTGGTGCACTGGGCAGAGCCAAAGGGATCGGGTCGAGAGGGAGGTGGGAGGGGGGATCGGGATGGGGAACACATGTAAATCCATGGCTGATTCATGTCAATGTATGACAAAAACCACTACAATATTGTAAAGTAATTAGCCTCCAACTAATAAAAATAAATGAAAAAAAAAAGTTAAAAAGAAAAAATAAAATAAAATAAAAAGAATACTGGAGTGAGTTGCCATTTCCTTCTCCAGGGGATCTTCCTGACCCCAGGGATCAAATCCACGTCTCCTGCTTGGCAGGTAGATTCTTTACCATGGAACCACCCTAGGAAAACAGTAATTCTGAATTGTATTTTAAAATCAGCTGGTTAAACTATTATTTATTGTACTGTTTTTAAATTGTTTTGTATTAGGGATCCTCTTAATTCTAAAAGAATGCACCTGTGTTTTATAATTGTTGAGTCACGGTTAATTACTATAGGGTTGATTATTCAAGTCTGCTTCCTGTGACAAACCATTTCTAAGTTTAACTGATCATACATAGTATTCTCTGAAACAAACACTCTAACAAAGGTAGTTTGCTATGGACACATAGCTTCAAGTCAACAATTTTAGAACTATTAAACTTGTCACTATTATAAGAAAACTGCCCTTCTTAGTAAATAGATGGCCAGAGGATTAACCTCATTGTGACAGAAACAAAATAAAGAGAGATTTAATTTAGATTGTATAGTAACTGATATATAAATATTCATTAACTTTCCTTATTGATCAAAAGAGGTTAAAGGTTAATCCAGTGCTTTTGCTTTTTCAAAATCACTTGGGTCAATAGTTGATAATTCTTCAGGAAAATGAACAAAAGACTCAAAAGCTTTGGGAACTCTGGTTTTAACCTAACATTTTTTCAATGCTAAATCAAACATATTTGGGCCGTTATAACTTTTTTTTTTTTTACAGATTTGGGCTTTTCTAATACTGATCTATACACATTCCCTATATTAATTACCTTAAACCTTTCTCAGAGTTGTTGAAAATTCTCGGTTTGTTACTTGTGTTTAAATTTTGTCTCTGTTGAAGAAAGTTTTTAGTTATATAGGAATTTATTGATAATTTCCTGTTGTCTTCTTTTTTTTTTTAATTAATTAATTTATTTATTTATTTTTTATCACAACCATAGTGTATCTTTTTTTTTTTTTTTTTTTTTTACATGTATTCCCCATCCCGGTCCCCCTTCCTGTTGTCCTCAACTGTTTTTATATGAGAATACTTCTCCATCCATAACTAAGGTAATTGCTTATTTTTTAAACTTTTAATGCCTTAAGAAAAATGCTTAGCCCTTTACTCAACTGTTCTATGAGGTGATGGAGAATATAATATGTGTTTTCCTCCCTGATCTGCAAGGCCAAATTTATCACATTTAAATGCCTTACAGTTTCTTGGGCCCCCTCTGGTCTATCATGTGTGTCTCTTTTTGTACCAGTACTACTCTGTTTTAATTATGGCTACCTCAAAATACATTTTTATATTGATAATTCACCTCATCATCTGGTCATTTTTTCCCCCAAAACATTTTCAGCTAGTTCTATTTAAGGATAAACTTTAGAGTTACTATCAATTTCCTCCTTGCTCTCCAAAGACAATTACCATTGGGATTTTGCTATATTTCTAAATTAATTTGGGGTGGATTAATGTTAATTTTGTCTTCCAGTTTTAGAACGTGGTACTTTTCTCTATTCAGATGTGTGTGTGTGCATGCGCGCGCGCACATGTGCACGCATGTGTAAATTTCATATTTGTGCAATAAAACTCACATTTCAAGGTTATTCCTAGCTACATGGTTTTTGTGACTAATTATAACCGAAGTGGTTTTTACATTATAACTTTTACCTAATTTTTACTGGGATGGTTTTAAGGATATGATTATTTTATCATTGGTTTATATTTATTTTTCCTAATTTGACCTAGTTTTTAGATAATACATTTTCAATATTAAACTATTTGTGCATTCTGGGGATATAGCATTTTTGGTTATGTTTAAAATATTCATTCAATAACCTAATTGACCTCAAAAATTGAGTTAACCCCTAGAGGCTGTCTTCTTTGCAAAAATTAAAAGAGTCAAAAAACTTTTTGTGGAAGAAGATAGGAAATAATACATATATTTTATGAACAAATTCTAAGTGAAGAACAAATTATAAGAACAACAGAGATACAGTTCATTATTATTATAAATTATCACTGACATAGCTAATGCAATCTTTTCCCTTTTTCTGTATTTCCTTGTTCTTTCAAATCTTGTGTTTTTCAACTCTCTGTTGATGGAGGGACAATAGGGAAATAATAGCCTAATCTTTTCTTCTAAGCAGCACAATTTTAAAAATACAAATTTAGAGGTGCAATTCTAATTCAAACACAGCAGCTGCTTGGTTTCTTTTATATTAATTAACATGCACTCTGTTATTTAATTATCAAAGTAACCTCATGAAGATGAAGCAGTACAAGTTACAGGTATTCTGCAAGGCAAGAAAGCAAGAAGCGTAGATAATTTCCAAAGATACTAGCCTAGACGCTGCACTCTCACCACAGAAAGCTATGCCCTTCTGATGTTATGTAAAAGCTCCATGTTTACTAATATTCCCTTAAGTAGAAACACAAAGATTGTCAGTGCACCTATTTCTGGGCTGTTAATGTAAGCCTACAGAATAAAAGAACAGTGGTTTAGCAACTGGCTGTTTTATCAACTCTGGCAGGACTCTACCAACGTGGAGAGGGACACTGACATCTGGGTCCTTCCTAGAGAGACAAAGGCCAGCAAAATGCTGTACTTTCTCTCTGGGAGTCACCTTGTTACATTAGGCATCTACATCTCTGACTTAAGCACATTGGGAATTTGTAATACCCATATACATGTGTGTGCTAGTGATGCTGTCTTCTCGCTTAAATCATATGAAAAGTTACAGGTAGTTATCTTCACGTTACCAGTGAGGCCAGTGACTAATTGAGAAGGCTTCAGAAGTATTCCCAAAGTCACTGAATTACCAACTGGTAGAAGTGCAATCTATTGGACCCAGGATCATCAGATTCCAGAACCCTAGGCTGCTATATCCTATCTAATTGAGCAACTTTGGTCAGCCAGCCCAAACTTTGTTTCCATTTCCCTTTTCTCTAGTCATCTCACTCTCAGTCAGGTGTGGCCACGTGAAAAATCTGGCCAAAGTGACTTAAATCGGCTACAGGATTCCTGGAGATGTATTTGCTTTCTCCACAGTGATAACCCTTCCCTGGGCCCTTTCTTCTTTTCTCTCCGTTGCAATGGCCACAACTGAAATAGCCATTATGGAACCACTAGGAAAAGGCCAAGAGAACTGCAATAATTCCAGTCTTCACAGAGTTGAACTACTGAGTTGGTAGCGCATCTGCATGCCTCGGCATTTCTCTTTCTTTCACAATAATAAATTTAAGTCACTGTAATCAGGTTTTTGACTACTATCTAATTAATAAGGCCATTTAATGCCTTCCCTGTGAATATTATTTTGCCTGATAATATTATACTCTCATTTTCTTGTGCTGTATTTATCTGAGACTGTTTACTCATCCTTTATTTTTAGTATTTCTGGCCAAGTTTCATCTAGGTATGACCCAAGTAAACAGCACATAGTTTCATTTTTTAACTAATCAGAGTATTAGGTTAATTTCAATTACAAATATAAAATATAGTAACAGCAACAGGCTGTTTCAATATCACATTTAAGAAGAGACTAATTTATGTCATCTGTAATTCACACACTGAATATAAAATGATCTAAGAATATTTTAAAAAGGAAAATCAATAGCATAGTTCTTCATGGGAAATTGGTTACCTATTAATTTTTTTCCTGATCCAAATCCTTCATAAATCCACAGGTGACCCTGACAGGCAAAGGGCACTGGTTGCTTCTGGAAGTTGATAATATCAAGGCGAATGATATGATTTACAGGGGCTAGTAATCTCCAGTGGCAGCTACAGCGCAATGAAAGAAAGTTAGAAACGATTTCTCAGCAGCATATGTTGTTATTTACTTTGTTCAGAATTTAATGCATCACTCAGTGAGTTACTGTTATTGACTGTACCTGCTTCTTTTGTGCTTAGGTGAAAGAAAATTTTAAATTATAACAGTGAAAATATTCTCTAATACTTTTGAATTTGTCAAAAGTTTTAACCAAGTTCACCCATTATGTGAATGGCTGGTCAAGCACATGTATTATTCTAAATTCTGATTGGCAATCTATAAGAGTTAATAAAGTATTCCTGTGTCAATTTGCCCTAAACTCCCCCAAATCATACACAGTTAGTTAGGATTGATACTATATAAATCTCCACTTTTATTTCTCACTTTAAGTTTATTCTAATGTTTAATTTAGGGAAAGTTCTCTTTTTACCGTGGGATTATATGAACCACTTATTGAGTACTACTATGTGCCAGAAGGTTTTACATACATTATTTCAATCTCCAAAGCTCTTTGATAGAGATTCAGCTTTTCACTTTACCTAACAAGTGATCTCTCTTATTGAGAAAGTACAGTTTATCAGCAGAGGTAATCTCACATTCAGGTTCTGTATACTGAAGACCTCAAATCAAGGATTGTCTCAAAGTCCATTCTTTAAGGAAAGCAGGTGAAAAATAACTCCTTAAAGAGATAACAAATGCTGCTTGTCAAGTGATCACTCAAAAACTTTCACTGTAATAAAAATTCCTTCCTTACCGCATAGGGGTTCTGTGAAAATATCTCGGGAATTGTATGATCCCTGTTGGCTTGGTCAGAATAACATCCTCACAGGTGGCCACATGCTCTTGGTTTGAACTCTGAAGAGATTGGGTGCTTTTACTGCCCTTTGGACCTAGAAATGAAGAAGAAAAAAAAATGAGGTAAAACTAATTTTTAAGAGGCTTGTTATATGCCTTTTCAGATCAGAGCTGTCAGTTTTCCTCTGTTTTAGAAAAAGTTAACAGGAGGTGGTTAGTTTCAGTAAAATTTTTCTATCTGAAATACTCAAAGGTTACAGAAAACCTTTCTCAAATTATATTTGGCACAGCCAAGGGTCTGTGGGAGATAAAGAGGAATAACTGTAGATGATGCAGGTTCCCTACACAAGTCCATTTAAAAGCAATATTTTTAAAAAAATTTTAATTCAACTATAGCTGATTTACAATGCTGTGTTAGTAGCTGGTATACAGCAAAGTGATTCAATTATACATATATATATATATATATACATATATATACACACACACACACACATATATATATATATACACACACACACATTTTTTTCCCATTAATGTTTATCACAGGATACCGAATATAGTCCCCTGTGCAATACAGTAGGGTCTTGCTGTTTATCTGTTTTATATATAATAGTTTGTATCTGCTAATCCTAAACTCCTAACTTTTCCCTCCCCCACCCCATCTCCCCTTTGGTAACCATAAGCTTGTTTTTTCATGTCTGTCAGTCTGTTTCTGTTTTATAAGTTCATTTGTATCATAGTTTAGATTCCACATACAAATGATATCATATGATATTTGTTAAAGCAATATTTATACTATAATTCTTTAGGAAAACAAATTCCATGATATACATGCTTTTCTTTTTATTTCTCACTTAACTTTTTTCCAGGTATATCTCTGCAATGCTTTTCAGCGCCAAGGAGAGAAACTAGTTTTTGGTTACCTGTACTCATCAAGAGTCAAAAATCGCACTAATTACATGTCTGAAAATGTAATAACTCTGATTTGCATACAGTTTACATTTATAATATCAGCCTCTACTATTTATTTAGCTTGTCCTCAAAACTCATTCTAACCTTTTATTTTTATAATATCACTATAAAGGAAACTCCAATAGAGATAAAAAATTGTCCAGAGCTAATCAGCCAGCTAAGATTTAGAACCCAGATCTTTCAATCCACAAGGATAATGGTTGTAGGAAAGGCTAACTGTGGTATAAAATCACAATCATGATAAAAATATTAATACTACTTTGCAATTAATATATCATATCGCCATGTCCATGAGTCACAATTCTGAATGATGGACAAGTCAGTCAAGTTATTCACTAAGTAGTTTTTCTCTTGGATCAGACCAATATCAGATCATTTAAAAAGATTTTCCCTTCAAACATAAACTCATTCCCCACAGAAACATAACTTTTCTTACAAAACAGTGTATAAGTTTTGAAATATCCATAAAAAGAAAAACATGGAGTATTTTAATTTAAGTTAATTTATTTATTTTAATTGGAGGCTAATTACTTCACAATATTGTGGTGGTTTCTGCCATACATTGACATGAATCAGCCACGGGTGTACATGTGTTCCCCTGTCCTGAAGACCCCCTCCTACCTCCCTTCCCATCCCATCCCTCTGGGTTGTCTCAGAGCACTGGCTTTGGGTGCCCTGCCTCATGCATCAAACTTGCACTGGTTATCTATTTCACATATGATAACATACATGTTTTAATGCTAGTTTTAACTTTATAAGTTAGAACATACCTTGGACTCTAAAGACAATATAATTTATGCCAAAAGCACCTCGCACACTGGAATGAAATGTCACCCTCACCAGTGGTCCAGAGCTCATGAAAACCACTGGATAAAGCCTTCTTCCACATAATTTACCTAGGTTAAAAAAAATCAAATTTGATAAAAAAACAAAAACATTTTAAAAACTTTCTCTAGTCTAGGCATGGTAACTAAACTCCACTCTGTAAAGTGAGGAGCAGCATTCTAGAATTCAAATGACTGACCCAAAGTCATGGACTAGGGGGTTGGGAGTCAGGAGCAGAACCTAGGTCCCAAAATTCAATACCTGTTACAGTCTGCTATATCCCATTCCTCCCATGAAGGACAGTAGGTAGCACGTTATTTTATCTTTAATATAAGGCTGATATGCCATTTCTCTCCTAGGAAAATAACCTATTTATTAAAAATACATCACTGTGAAAATCCATGATGGAAACTTTTTCTACCAGAAAATTTATTCTTTCCCTACAGCCAATCTTCTTTTGATTGCTTTACTTTGAGAACCTAAATCAAAGAGAATGTAAAACTATAACCATAATTCTAAAATGATTCAGAGGGCTGATTAAGAAGGTATAAAAAGAACCCATGAGTTTCTTAGAATCAAACTCACCTACTATTAAGAATAATTCCGTGTCTTTCTGTAATAATTATTTAAATGTCATCTGCTCAGAAAGCTGGTTATTCTGCACCCAATTCTATGGCATCTGTAATCCCATATGTTTTTTCTCTCCCTTCCCACCTCATTTTCCCTTAGTCCTTCTGTCTAATGTATTATATATTTTTATCATATCATGTGTCCTCTTCCTCCTAGAATATATGGTGGTAAGGGCAGGGATTTTTTTGTCCATTTTGTTCACTATTGGATGCCCACAACCAAGAAAAGTCAATCCTTGACCCATAGTAGGTGCTCCACATATATTTGTAGGCAGTAAGGAAGGGAAAAGATTTACTTAGAGGAAGAAAAAAATCATTAGTTGGCATAATACATTAGAGTATATGATGCTGGAATACTATTTGAAGGATGAGCCAATATTTATTTGTAGCAAATAGAAATGAATGCAGCTTTTGAACAGTTGCTGGCTCCCACAGGGAAAAACACAGCATTTTCAGTGTACAAGGATACTATTCAATTTGAGTAAGAGGTAATATCTCTATCATAGCCTTATAGTTCTGCTAGCTATCATCTGAAGGACAGAACAATTTAACAGGTTTCAAGCTGACAATTTCAAATCAAAGAAATGCTAGGTTGAAAAATTATAGGGTTTTCACAGTTAATCTACAGCAAAGTCAAGCATGGTTTTCAGTAGGTAACAATGAAAAAGGCAAGTGTCAGTCACTCAGTCGTGTCCGACTCTTTGCAACCCCATGGACTACAGCCCACCAGGCTCCTCTGTCCATGGAATTTTCCAGGCAAGAATACTGGAGTGTGTTGCCATTCCTTTCTCTAGGGATCTTCCCCATCCAGGGATCGAACCCAAGGCTCCTGCACTGCAGGCAGATTCTTTACTGCTTGAGCCACCAGGGAATCCTGTTTTTTCCAGGCATCATTTATTTCTATACGAGAGCCTGGTATGTGATAAAGTGAAGTGAAGTGAAGTCGCTCAGTCATGTCCGACTCTTTGCGAACCCATGGACTGCATAGTCCATGGAATTCTCCAGGCCAGAATATTGGAGTGGGTAGCCTTTCCCTTCCCCAGGGGATCTTCCCAACCCAGGGATAGAACCCAGGTCTCCCGCATTGCAGGCAGATTCTTTACCAGCTGAGCCACAAGGGAAGCCCAAGAATACTGGAGTGAGTAGCCTATCCCTTCTCCAGTGGATCTTCCCGACCCAGGAATCGAAGCGGGGTCTCCTGCATCGCAGGCGGATTCTTTACCAACTGAGCTATGAGAGAAGCCCTGGTATGTTATAAAGATACATATAAATTCAGGAAATCATTCTTTCTAAAAAAGGAATCAATCATAAGATCATTTTACCATATGAGAGGGGTTCCCTGGTCTCTCAGCAATAAAGAATCTACCTGCAATGCAGGAGACCTGGGTTTGATCCCTGGGTTAGGAAGATGCCCTGGAGAAAAGAATGGGTACTCACTCCAGTATTCTTACCTAGAGAATTGCATGGACAGAAGAGACTGGTGGGCTGCTGTCCATGGGGTCTCAAAGAGTCAGACACAACTGAGCGACTAACATTAACACAACACTAGCACCATATAAGAAAATATATTTCAGGAGGATTAAGCTTTTTTAATTAAAAATTTCTGACCTTAGTTGGGAAATTAATTTTGAAAAATAAAAGCAATGAGATAAATCAAAGATGAAAATACATAGAAATATATTTAAATCAATAAATTTAAAAATATTTATATCAACAAAGACACAAAATTTAAAGGCAAATGACAACCTTATAAATAAGTACTTGTAATTTATGACAAAGGAAAAATTGTTTTATATAATTATATATATATATATATATACACACACACATATATATAGCCCTTATAAGCCAATAATATGATCAATACTCAAATTTAAAAATAATGGTAGTAACAAGGAATTAGAAAATGCAGATAGCTAACAAATACATGGAAAAAAATTACCCCCATTAATGATTAAAAAAAGTAAAAGTGCTTATTAAATTGATAATATCAGATTAAAGGCATGGTGAAAGAGGCTCTTATTATTGCTAAAAGTCTTTCTGAATAATTTAGTAGTATGGATTCATGCAAAACAAATGTTCTGAGTCTCTATTATTTCAATTTGGGAAAATATGGGAGGGGAAGAAAATAGTTGGATCCCTGCTCTCATGGCACTTTCATTTTGGTCAGGTAAATGAAGATGATTTCAAATAGAGACCACTGCTACACATGAAATAACAGCAGAATATGATAGGAAAAGATCATGAGAAGGAAAGGTTGATGGTCCTTTAGACTTAGAATGTCTGTTTGAGGAGGTAACCTTTCAGTCAGCCAGTCATTTACTAAATGCCTTCTGTGTGTCCAGGACTGTTCTAAACACGGGATTCCTGACATGAAGAGACAAGTTTCAGTCCTTGAGAAGCTCAAGTTAATAGAGAAGACACAGGCATGAAAACATGAAACAACATCATAGGTTAGAAGACAATGATGCCGAGAGAAGGGCCATTAAGAATTACAGAGGTGGGAGGTGATGCGATTCACATCAATCAGGTAGGCCTCATTAAGAAAGTGTGCTCTCCGTGGAGAAAAGGGAACTCTTGTACACTGTTGGTGGGAATGTAAATTGGTACAGCCACTGTGGAAAATAGTATTAGGTTTCTCAAAAAACTAAAAATGGAACTACCGTATGACCCAACAATTCTACTCCTGGGGTATATATCCAAAAAAACCAAAAACACAAGTTCAAAAAGACACACGCACGCCAATGTACATAGCACATTACTTACACTTGCCAAAATATAGAAGCACCTAAGCATCCATTAACAGATGAATGGATAAAGAAGATGTGATACACACACACATAAAGGAATACTACTCAGTCATTTAAAAAGAACAAAACTTTGCCATTTGCAGCAACATGGATAGACTTGAAGGGCATTGTGCTAAGTGAAATAAGTTAGGCAAAGACAAATACTTGTATGATACCACTTATATGTGGAATTTTTAAAACTCCACAACTAGTTAATATAACAAAAAAAGCAGACTCACAGATATGAGAACAAACTAGTGGTTACCAGTGGGGAAGGGGGAGGAGCCAAAGAGGGATGGGGGAGGGGGGTACCAACTGTTCGGGTGTAAGACCGGCTCAAGGATGTATTGTTTCATAACAACTGTAAATCGAAAGTAATCTTTAAAATTGTATTAAAAATGTCAAATAAAAAAATGAAAGCACATTCTAGTCAAGACTTGACTGGCCGGAGAAGAGCTCTTTGAAGAGCTGGGAGAGGTAGATGGACAAGGGCCCTGAGAGCGGAGTGTGATGGGCTCAGGGAGTGGGAGGCAAATGTCATGCTATGCATTCTGGACCTCACCGTGGCTACAAGGAGACCTCAAGCCATTTCAATCACGGTGGATGGGGAGGTGATCTGATCATAGGGGGAAAATGTGCAGTGGACAGGCCAGTTAATGGTCTCCTCTGCAGTCTAAATGAGACAGTATTTCTAAAGAAAGAATCTTTAAATAAATGGTTGTGTCTTCTAAGTCAATAATTCAATCTCTCCGAAGTTTTCCAAAGAAAACAATCTCAACCTCAAAGCACTTCCCTGGTCTCCATACACTCCTGAATCAAGCATGTACATCTGTGTGTCAACCACATGCACTCACAGTAACAACATAAACTTTTCTGTCCAGGTGTCCCCATCAACCAAATTATTTCCAGCGCCTTCCCACCTCCTGCTGTGTGCATGCTGTTACTTCAGTCATGTTTGACTCTTTGTGACCCCAAGAACTATAGCCCACCAGGCTCCTCTGTCCAAGGGATTCTCCAGGCAAGAATACTAGAGTGGATTGCCATGTCCTCCTCCCAGGGATCTTCCTGACCCAGGGGTCAAATCCACATCTCTTATGTCTCCTGCATTGGCAGGCAGGTTCTTTACCACTACCGCCATTCCCCTTTACTGAGAGCTAAAAACCCTGTATTATACCTACACAAACAAGAGTTGGCAAGTTTGTTTTGCTTAACAAAATAGGTTTGCCCATACATGAAATGACAGTTGGTATGTTATTAGCAAACTTTTCAATTCCACCATTTTAAAAACCTTTAATGCATTTTCCTGTATTTTAAAATTCAACACTCTATGTCCTACATGATTTTAATTATCTTAATCCCTCCTTGGTCATATACACACTTCTGGCATTCTGGTATGGTTCTGCTATGCTTGAAGATGGGCTCACTTGCCTTTTTTTTTCTTCTAAATACACATACATGCAAACACACCCACTCAACCTTTAGTATACCTGTTTTGAAAATTCAAACTTGAAAATATTACACATGTCTAAACATAAAGGCATAAAAATATGCCTACATTACATGAATCAACATTTCAGAGGTATTATTACCAAGTTTAACTCTCCCTTTGAACTTAAGCTGCTTACACAGGAAATGCACACATATAAATGCCCCTAAGGCTTACCTGACATCCTTCTCTCACTGTGGTTTTCTTCATAAATAATCAGAGCTGAATCTTGACACATATGAGACCCAGGGAGTAACAGATACTCAACCGTAAGTTTTGCAATACTGCTTGGTGAAACTCGGAGCACCCAAGAACATTCCAGTTTTCCTCTATAATCCAGTGGATATCTTGGAGACGAAAAAAAGCCTCTAGGCTCTTCTAACTCCACTTCAGAGTAACAGCCTATGATTCAGAACACAGAGATACCACTGTCCAACTCAAATAAGACAAAGAAAAGTGAGATTCTATCATACATTTGAATAATTTAGGCTTGCAAAAAGAAAAATAAAACTTAATTACCATCAGTTATAAGTTCTTGGATAAAATGATAATCCCATTTAATGTGTCCTAGTTTTGTGAAATGAGACTGTAAAAGTAGAATTTAAATAATAATTATTCAAAATGACTTTTAACTGAATTTTTAAAACTTCTTAGAAAAATGCAAAGTGGACTGCACTGTATTCTCTAAAGGCAGCCTGTTTTCATTTCTTTCCTTCTTTGAGATACAACTGAAGATATGTTCTTAAAAGCTTCATTGGTTTCCCTAAGCACTTATCTTGCTGGGACAAATGACTATATTCATGAAGTTTGCAATTGAGGTCAGGAGAGGAGAATTTGCTGAATACACTTTGAACGTCATCTTCAATTTGTTCTTAAGTCTAAGCGCACTGTTGTACCTGCATGGGTACTTGCAGAGCTTCAGATGCTAGGAGCGCTCTGTCCCACTGACCCTGCCATTGTCTTCTCTTCCTTCAAGTGACATCCTTGGCTCTCCCTTCTTTCCCTATGTCTATTCCCTTGATAACAATTTTTTGAGCAATTAAAACTGAAATACTCTGTATTCAGATGAACACATTTTTTAAATATTTATTTTTAATTGGTTGATGATTGGTTTACAATAGTGGTTTGATTTCACATTTTGATGGATGAATATGACAGCTTACAGTGAACAGTGTTGGATTTGTGGTCTCTGAAGAAGATTTAACTTCGGGACCAGGGACCAGGCTTGATCACTCAAGAGTTTTGTAGAGCAGAATTTTATTAAAGTTTAAAAAGGGATAGAGAAAATTTCTAACATAGACATCAGAAGGGGGATGGAGAGTGCCCCCCTTACTAGTGTCAGCAAGGAAGTTATATACTTTTTTAATTGGTTATTACAATAAATCAAAAGAATGTCTCAGGTTTGTGAACATTTTACCAGACCCACTCCCACAATTTACATTTTAGGATAACAGGATTAGAATTTAACAATAGAAAGATCCTACCAGACCTAGTCCCATATTATACATTCTAAAATATCAGGATTAGTCAGAAGGTTTTCAGGAAGGAGAAACTGTTCTCAAGCAGGATACACTGTTGTTATATAACCCTTAGTACAGTGTTTAAACTGAGTTGTTTGTTGTGTAACCATCAGTTTCAGATTTAAAGAAAAAAACAGTTTCATGTGACTAAGACTAAGGAACGAAGAAAAAAAAAAAGATGTTTGTCCTTTCCTCCTCCTTGAGAATTCCAGACCCCTATCTCCTCCTCGAGAACCCCAGGCCGCTTTCTCCACCACCTCAGGGAACCCCGGACTTCTTATCAACCTGCCTAGGAATTTACTCTCTCATTCCCCCCTTTTCTTTTAGGAGAATTATGTTGCCAAGGGAAAGGGGTGTTGTTTTCATTCCATAACTACTTCCTGCTGTTGAGGGGTGTGGTCCCTAAATTGTTGAGGTAACATATTCTCCTAACCCTCATATTGAGGGTCTCTAATCCAGGGGCCCCAGATAATAGCTGGAGGAGTCTGTGGCCCTGGTAGGAGCCTGAACAACCATTTGTAACTTAAAAGCTTTCAAATGGTTAAAAACAAATCCATTTACACAAGTACATATGCAGGGAGCAGACAGTAAAAACAGAACAATTAGAATCATTACGATTAAGAGTTTTCCACCATGGGGAGCTAGTTAAAGTTTCCCAAAGTGAGGTGACTGAGGCTTTAAGAGAATCCATAGCCTGAATTATCTTGTTCATGTGTTTAGTAAAGTGAGTAACATTAGTACTCACCTCTGGTATATACGTACAACATTGGGTATGAATAATGGCACAAGTTCCTCCTTGTGCAGTCATTAGAATATCTAAGGCCAATCTGATTTGTAAAACCACCTTTCTAACTTGTATTTGTTCAGCACTAGGGGCTGAAAATTAGTCAGAGCATCAACTCATAGCATAACATATGATCTGTAGTTCCCAGAGAAGGAACGAATATTGTAGCCAGATAATCATACCAGTGAAATACAGATCTTGCCCAATGAGTTTTAAGGTGTGGCAGATTAGTAGGCTTCTCTGGAAGCTCTGAAAATATGAAGCCAAGAGTAAAAGCTAGACCTAGGGTGCATCTCCCTATCCAGCCAATGGCAAGCCACACCCATAGGTAAGAGCTACATATCCAGTAAAAGTGTCTACCCAGGCCTGTAAGCAAGAAAATCCATTTGTTTTTGGCATATGAGTAAAAGGAACCACAGCCTCATTTATTACTTGTAAATCTTGAACTAGCCTTCATTTATCATTTAACTTTTTCACACCCAAAATAGGAGTGTTGCATGGACTGTTACAGGGAATTAATAGCCCCTACTCCTTTAAATTCTCAATGATGGGTTTTAACCCTTCCTTAACCTCAGGCTTTAGCGGGTACTGCTTTTGATGTGGAAATAGGTGAGGGTCTTTGAGTTTGATAAGGACAGGAATAGCATTTTGTCCTCAGCCCACAGTTTTTTTTCATCAGCCCACACTTCAGGATATACAGTTTGTTCCATTAAAAAGAGCTGGTTCCATATTCATGAAAACAGAGACCTGGACCTTGTTTAATATATCCCTCCCCAGAAGGGGTGAGGGAGACTCTGGCACGATTAGAAACTTGTGAGAAAACAGCACAGAGAAAGTTGCCACTTAAAGGATGACTGACATAACAATGTTTGGCTCATCCAGACAGTCCCATTACAGTAGTGAATCAGGAGGAAAGCAGACCAGGGGCTTCAGTGAGCACAGAGAAAGTTGCCCCATTGTCCAAAAGAAGTCAACTGATTGGCCCTCCCCTGTTATTAATACCTGGGGTTCCTCAGGTGTAATTAGGATGGGAGCTTGTGTGGGGATCCCTGGGCATCTTCAGATTGTCTATGTCAGAAGCTTTCTCTGTCCCTTTTAAAACTTTAATAAAACTCTGCTCTACAAAAGCTCCTGAGTCATCAAGCCTGGTCCCTGGTCCTGAAGTTAAATCTTCGGAGATCATGAATCCGACAGCATTCACTGTAAGCTGTAATCTTGGGGGGCGTGTCTGGGATCTGAACCTGGGACCTCTCGTGCCAGAGGCGAGAATTGACCCCTGTAGACCAACCAGTCTGCCACCCCTTCAGTCCAGATTGTCTTAAGAGTCCAACCCCTGGGGCCTACACCTCAGAGGGTAGTCTCTTCTCTGGTGTGGTCCTTTGCAGCAATACATACATCATTATACATGTACTGCCATAAAGAAATACCATTCCAACTGAGGAGACCCATATGTTAATACACTTTACTGAACAATAGAAATAAGTGGCAGAGATGAAAGGAAATATTCCAAGAATTCAGGATTCTATTCAATTGCTTGGTTTTCTGTTATTTCTGTGAATTTTTCTCTTTTTCATTTACATGGCTATTATGGTCTAACTTAGGTTATTTCTTAGGTCTACTTGGATGTTATAGTAATCTAACTGATTTTTCAGTCTCTAATCTTCCCCCACCATGTCCTTCAATCAGAGAATGACGAAACAGAAGAATTAAGCTCCTTTTTCGCTTGCTCAAAGCCAACTACAGTGGCTTGCAAGGTCTTTCAGAGTCTAGTCCCAACGTGTCTTTGCAATCTTTTTTCCTCTCTACATGAATCCTCCACTTTATAGTGGAGATTTCCAGACTTTCTGCCTGGAAAAGGAACTGAATCATATAAAGTCATGAATTCCCAAGCAATCACTATTCTTTATAAATAGGGTAACAATTTCAAAAAACCATTGCTAAGATTCATTTATTCCCTTGTGTGAAAAGCAAGTGGTGGGAGTGGGTGGGTGTTAAAGATGGCAGCGTCCTAATACTTTCTCTCACAGAATATTCAAAGAAGTAGAACAAAATAATACCCTTTTATATGTAAAGCTTTCAAAGTTCTTTGCTTATGCATAATTATTTCTGAACACATGCAAATGAGCAATATCTTCTCTACATTTTAACAATGTTCATTTTCTAATTGACTGTTTTGTTTTGCATGGACATGCCGCATGGCATGTGGCATCTTAGCTCCTGGACCAAGGATTGAACCTGCACCTCCTGCATTGGAAGCACAGAGTCTTAATCACTGGACCACCAGGGAAGTCCCCACTTTCTAACAGTCTGAATGAGACAGAACAAAGAATACATTTGATGGTCACTATCACCACTCCCACACTTATTGACTCTTTTTATAGGTCATACCATCCCTATTCTAAGGACTTAGCATATATTACGTCTTTCAGCACTCATTAAAATTGTTAAATCATCAAAATCATTAGGTTTTATGATCTTAAAGTCTGCTCTCCATCTCAATCCCAATTCCATATTTAATTTTAATCTAAATGTGACTCTTTGACTCTAGTTTTGACTCCTGACACTTGTGATGTCAGAACACACCACCCGTAAGGTAAAGGGTCCCTGAGTTACTCCACTTCATTCCTAGAAGATTTTAGCAGTCATTTTCTCCAACAGTATTCTTGTCTTATATCTTGCTGATTTCAATAGGCATACATGATGACTCTAGCACTGAAGCTTCTCAATTCTCAACTTGCCTCCAATAATCCTGTCCTTCACCTGACCTCATCCACTCATCCCAGTGATCAGCCCCTACCGACCTGGTCATTAGCAGTAATTACAAGCCTTGTATAAACTCAGTTTCAAGAACCACCATCTCCAACCACAACCCTCTGTTTTTCAGCTTACACAAACATACCTTTTGAGACTTGTAATTCATCTATCCCACCACCTTTTCTTATTTTTCAACTTATCATTCTTCCTTGTTTTACTCTTTCCTCCAGCTTAAATTCCAACCATGTATCATTTTAATCCCTTCCTCACATACACACTCTCAATTCCCTTATACTCTTGTATACTTGGAAATACCCACTGTGACTGAATCTTCTCTGCACCTGTGCTGCATCTATGTGGTACACCTCAGTGTCTCCAGAGGGAGACAACCGGACCAGCTGATTAGTCTTCCTCTAAATTTATGATCATTAATCTCAGAGGCTTTTATGCTGCCAAAAAATTCTACTACATTTTTCTGGTCCATAGGGCTTCCCTGATAGTTATTCAAAAGCTATTTAATACTTTCTCTTTTTTTCTCTCAAAACTCTCAAACTCTTTTCTACAATCCTCTGTTTAACCTGCTGAGGAAATAAGCAATTAGAGAACTGCCAGAAGCTCTCATTCCTACATGTACCCACACAAGAGCACCCGTGCCTAAATATTCTGCTTTCCATTTGGCAACAATGGATGAACTGCACTTTGCTCCTGCCTAAGACCAATCCTTCCACCTGGACAATAGATCTCACCCATTTTCTTCTACTGAAAGTTATCACTCTAGCAAGTCTTGTTCTTCTCTCTGGACTCCTCTTAAGTTTTTCTCCAACTCTTCCTCATTGTCTCCTGGACTTGAGTGTATGTAGGAGTGGATGAAGCAGAGATGGGTGAAAAGGGAAAGACCCTGACCATTTGGAAACCAAGAATGACGGTATCATGGAACTTTTATCTTCTTATAAATCTTTCATAGACTTCTAAATGTCTAGGTTCTTTTCAGTTCAGTTCAGTTCAATTGCTCAGTCGTGTCTGACTCTTTGCGACCTCATGGACTGCAGCATGCCAGGCCTTCCTGTCCATCACCGACTCCTGGAGTTTACTCAAACTCACGTCTATTGAGTCAGTGATGCCATCCAACCATCTCATCCTCTGTCGTCCCCTTCTCCTCCTGCCTTCAATCTTTCCCAGCATCACAGTCTTTTCGAAAGACCAGGTGCTTTTAGCTTTTAACTAAAAATAAAATCCTATTAGCAAACAGACACTGACAGTGTGGAAGAACTAAGACAGACACTAACACCAATGCTGGTCTTAATCATCTCATATCCAGAATGTTTGTCTAGCAGGATATCTGAAAGTCTAAGGACCTTTGTTCATGCAGGAATAACAGTTCAGAGATCAGAATAATACTGTGAACTTTTCAAAAATTCAAGCACTGTTTATAACCATAAGACTTTTTTTTTAACCTGTAATAGCTGTGTCTATGAACTAGAAAAGATCCCGAGACAGCAACAATAAATAACTCTCCTGTCTTTCAACTTAAACTACCAACCAGTATGAAAACAGTTTATGGTATTCCAAAGAAAATTAGTGAATCCCCAATAAGCAATGCTTTTTGCTAAATTCTTATTAGCGCTATTAATGGGATAATGTGAACATCTACTACCTGGCCCAGATGCACTGTCTCTTGAGGGTGTGGGTGGTGGCGATTGTTGTCTTGTTAAGATTTTGCTTTCATTTTTTATCTGGAGTAAAACAGGTCCTGCATCTGGGGAGACATGTTAAAAGTAAATAAAGATGAAAGCCCAAGGACAAAATGTAGTCTGTCCCAGATCAGAGATTTTCAAAAGAGAATGCAAATCTAGGATTAAAGCAGCCTCAGGAAAAGTCAGTTTTACCATAACATTGCCTAAGGAAGAAGTTATTCTTATAGAATTTTAATGTATATTTTTAATATATTTAGAAACTAAAATAAATAAAATACTATGTTATTGTCTTTTCTAACACCGTTTCTATCACTCTCACCTCTCCCAAGCCCACTCTAAAAACAGAAGAAACTTTTTATAATATATGAAAACTATTTACCTTTGATTTTGGATTGAATCCAGTCCAGGAAGACACTCACTCTGGCAAACACACCTGGCTTCCTTGGTTGGCCACAGCCAGCTCCCCAGCTGACAATGCCATAGAGAACAAAGGGCCCTTTTTCATGCTTACACACTAATGGTCCACCAGAATCTCCCTGGAATACCAAGAAAACATGTTCTAAAACTGCTTTAATCAGAAGTCCTGACTTCAATTTTGGAACATGAATAATTAATTTATTCATGACATATTTCTTTAATTTTTTAAAAGATTTACTCCTTGTCATTTGGTATACCTTAGAATACTTAGACATAATAAATGAAATGACAAAAGAAAGAGGAGATAGTACAGCTGGTATTCCAGCAACACAAAGGATTATGAGACCTCTGTGAACACTTATAAACCCCAAATTGGGTAATTTATAAGAAATAAATCCCTAAAAACATGCAACCTACTAACAACAAATTAAGGGGAAAAAGAAAATGGCAATAGACTAATATGAGAAAAGAGAATGAATCAATAATGAAGAATATCATAAAACAGAAAAGTCCAGGACCAGAAGGCTTTACTAGTGAATTTCATTAAACATTTAAATAAAGAATCCTTCTCAAACTGAAGAGGGGGGAATACTCCAAAAATCATTTTATGAAGTCAGTATTATCCTCATACCAAAGCCAGGTAAGAACACTACAGGAAAGGATAATTACAGGCCAATATCCCCAATGAATATAGATGTAAAAATCCCCAGCAAAATACTAACATACGGAATTCAGCAGTATATTAAATAGATCAATCACCATAATCAAATGGGATTTATTCCAGTGAAGTAAGAGTTTTTCGATATATGCAAATCAATAAATGTGAAAGTTAAAAGTTGTATCATCTCAATAGTACAAACAAAACATTTGAAAATCCAACATTCTTTCACGATTAAAGACTCTCAAGAACTTGGGTATAAACAAGACATAACTCAACATAATAAAGGTCATATATAACAAACCCACACTTAACATCCTACTCAACAGTGAAAGGTTGAAAGCTGCTCCTCTAAAAGCAGGAACGAGACAAAAGTGCTCATCCTCACCATGCCTATTCAATACAGTCTGAAAGTCCCAGTCAGAGCAATATGGCAAGAAAAAAAAAAAAAAGACACCCAAACCAGAAAGGAAGAAGTAAAGTTGTTTTTATTTTCAGGTGATACAATCTTTTATACAGAAAATCTTAAAGGCTTCACCAAAAACCTGTTAGAACTTATCAATGAATACAGTAAAGTTTAAGGATACAAAACAAACACAAAAATCAGTTGTCTCTTGCCTATAATCAGTGAAGGGCTATGCACCTTGCACTAATTCACAGTGGGTTCTGCTGGACAAATACTGGGCCAGTGTTATTGAGGCAATCAAGCGAGATCTGCTCCACAGGGCTAATGCTACCTCTCCCCTTTAAAATTTTTTAGAGGTTATAAAAAAAGACAGTGGTATGTTGTATGATGATCAGTCCTGTGTTTCTATCAAGGCCACCTGGGCCATGAATGAGAAGGGAATCAAAATGAAATCTGACTAGAATTTTACTGCAAAGGCCAAGTACATTTAGTATGGCATTGAATTATGATATAATTTTTCTTTGATGTGAATTTTGAATTTCAGCTACACCTAGATAGACATAAAATGATAATTAAAATGCTGTACCAACTTATCTAATAAAATTGGCACCTAGCCCCTATTTTGTTGACTATGAGATAGTTTATGTTAATTTTAAGGATCTGATAGGGTACTTCATGTGTATTAGAGTAATATTCATATGCTGTGTCTTTAAACTTTATTTTCAAAAGTTTAAGGCTCAAATATAAACTTCTTTGAAATAGAAAAAAGAAATCAATTGTGTCTCTATACACCAACAAAACACATAGTTTTTAAAAAATGTCATATATGATATAGAATCAGAATAAAATATTTCAGAACACATTAACCAAGGAGGCAAAAGATTTCTATATGAAAAACTATCACTCTGATGAAAAAAATTGAAAATTATTTACACAAATAAATATCCCATGTTCATGGATTAGAAGAATTAATATTGTTAAAACGTCCATACTACTCAAAACCACCTAAAGATTCAATGCAGTCCATATCAAAATTTTAATGGTGTTTTTCACAGAAATAAAGGAAAAAAATCCTAAAACTCACATGGAACCACAAAGACCCCCACACAGTCAAAGCAATCCTGAGAAAGAATAAAGTTGGAAGCATCACATGTCCTAATTTTAAAATATATTACAAATTTATAGTAATCAACACAGTATGGTAACCAGTGTTAAAACAGATATGTAGGCAGAATAAGGACAGAATTGTGAGCCCAGGAAAAAACCTTAATTTACATAGGTAACTAATATTTGACAAGGGAAGAAAGAGTATTCAGTGAGGAAAGACTAATTTCTTCAGTAAATGGAGTTGGGGAAACTAGATAACCATATGCAGAGGAATAAAATTGAATTCCTGTTTACTCCACAGAAAATTAACTTGAAATAAATTAAAGATGTAAACAAACATAAGGCCACAAATGGAAGAACTCCTAGAGGAAAACATGGGAAAAGCTCCTTTGCTTGTGGCATTGTTTTTTCTTTTTTGGATATGAAACCAAAAGCACAAGCAACAGGGGCAAAAATCAGTCAGTGGGATTATATCAAACTAAAATGCTTCAGCACATCACAAGAAACAATCAAGATCAAAATGCAACATGTGGAATGGGAGAAAATATTTGCAAACTATATATCTGATATGGGGTTATTATTTAAAATTATAAAATTCATACAAATCTATAACAAAAATCACATAGTTTAAAAATGGACAGAGGATCTGAATAGACATATTTCCAAAGAAGATGTGCAGCTGACCAATAGGTAAAAGTAAATGTGCCCAACATCACCAGCATCAGGAAAATGAAAGTCAAAATGACAATGAGATATCATCTCATACCTGTTTAATCATATATCATCAAAAAGACAAGAAATAAAGTGTTTGCAAGGATGTGGACAAAAGAGAATCCTTTTGTACCACTGGTAGGAATATAAATTGATACATCACTATGGAAAATAGAACTACTATATTATACAACAATCCTAGTTTTGGGTATATAGCCAAAGGAAATGAAATTAGGATACTGAAGAGGTAACTGCATTCCCATGTTTACTGCAGCTTTATTTACATTAAACAAGATATGGAAGCAATCCATTTTTCTGTGAAAGGATGAATGGATAAAAAAGATGTAATGTGTGTGTGTGTTATGGATACTTTAAGAGTGCTCAGTTGCTAGGTCATGTTTGGCCCTCTGTGACTCTGTGGACTGTAGCCTGCCAGGTTCCTCTGTCCATGCAATTTTCCAGGCAAGAATACTGGAGTGGGTTGCCATTTCCTCCAGGGGATCTTCTTAACCCAGGGATCAAACCCACATCTCCTGCATTGGAAGGCAAATTCTTTATCACTGAGCCACCTGGGAAGCAATATATACATATATACACACATATATATTAAATACATGTTTATTTGTTATTTATCTATAAGAATACTAAATATTAAGATGAAATATTATTCAGCTTTGAGAACAAAGGAAATCCTGCCATTTGTGACAATATGGATGACTCTTGAGAGCATGATGTTAAGTGAAAAGTCAGATAGGAAAAGACAATACTATGTTATATCACATATATGTGAAATCTAAAAAAACTAAACTCACAAATCAGGCTTCCCTGATGGCTCAGTGGTAAAGAATCTGCCTGCCAGTTCTTTGAGACATGGGTTTGATCCCTGAGTTGGGAAGATTCCCTGGAGAAGGAAATGGCAACTTACTCAAGTATTCTTGCCTGGGAAATCCCATGGTCAGAGGAACCTGGAAGGCTACAGTCCATGGGGTCTCAAAGAGCTGGACATGACTTAGTGACTAGGATCTTATATATGGTTGCTAAGACAGTAGATCATAAGTGTTCTGAACAGAGGAAGAAATGGTAATTGTTCGAGGTGTGCTCAGTCGCTCAATTTTGTTCGACTCCTTGTGACTCCGTGGACTGTAGCCTGCTAGGCTCCTCTGCCCATGGAATTCCTCAGGCTAGAATACTGGACTGGGTTGCCATTTCCTCCTCCAGAGGATCTTCCCAACCCAGGGCTTGAACACTTGTCTCATGCATCTTCTGCATTGGAAGGTGGATTCTTTACCACTGATCCACCTGGGAAGCCCCTTCACAACACATATGTATAAAAATCATCACATTGTACATTTTAAATTTACACAATATGTCAATTATATCTCAATAAAACTGTGGAAAATTCTGAAGGAGATGGGAATACCAGACCACCTGACCTGCCTCCTGAGAAACCTGTATGCAGGTCAGGAAGCAACAGTTAGAACTGGACATGGAACAACAGACTGGTTCCAAATAGGGAAAGGAGTACATCAAGGCTGTATATTGTCACCCTGCTTATTTAACGTATATTCAGAGTACATCATGAGAAACGCTGGGCTGGAGAAAGCACAAGCTGGAATCAAGATTGCCGGGAGAAATATCAATAACCTCAGATATGCAGGTGACACCCCCTTATGGCAGAAAGTGAAGAGGAACTAAAGAGCCTCTTGATGAAAGTGAAAGAGGAGAGTGAAAAAGTTGGCTTAAAGCTCAACATTCAGAAAACTAAGATCATGGCATCTGGTCCCATCACTTCATGGCAAATACATGGGGAAACAGTGGAAACAGCGACTGATTTTATTTTGGGGGGCTCCAAAATCACTGCAGATGATGATTGCAGCCATGAAATTAAAAGATGCTTACTCCTTGGAAGGAAAGTTATTACCAACCATGACAGCATATTAAAAAGCAGAGACATTACTTTGTCCACAAAGGTCCATCTAGTCAAGGCTATGGTTTTTCCAGTAGTCATGTATGGATGTAAGAATTTGACTATAAAGAAAGCTGAGCACCGAAGAATTTATGTTTTTGAACTGTGGTATTGGAGAAGACTCTTGAGAGTCCCTTGGACTGCAAGGAGATCCAACCAGTCAGTCCTAAAGAAAATCAACCCTGAATATTCATTGGAAGACTGATATTGAAGCTGAAACTCCAATACTTTGGCCACCTGATGTGAAGAGCTGACTCATTTGAAAAGACTCTGATGCTAGAAAAGATTGAGGGCAGGAGGAGAAGGGGATGACAGAGGATGAGATGGTTGGATGGCATCACCGACTCAATGGACATCGGTTTGGGTAGACTCCGGCAGTTGGTGGTGGACAGGGAGGCCTGGAGTGCTGCCGTTCATAAGGTCACGAAGAGTCAAACATGACTGAGTGACTGAACTGAACTGAACTAAAAGCTGAAAAAATTCAGACCTTAAAATATAGGATTTGCATTTTTTTAAAGACAGACTTTCTGGTTTTTAATCAGGGCTTTTTTTTTAAATATATACAAGTGTATTTAAACCCTAAGTAAAGTTTTAATTATCTTCTTATAAAATAAACTGAGCTGATAACACAGTTGTCTATTTTATATGAAGAATTTCACAGTAGATATCCTGCATTGGGAATAGGAAATAGATTCCCTAATTTGTATTGTAGAACAATTAACATTTTCTCTGGGCCTAGTTTTTCTTCCCACATAAGATTATACTTAAGATTCCCTTCCAGTTTGAAAATGGTCTGATGTGTCTTTTATTCACTCATTAATTCAGTACCAGCACATACCCAATATATAATTTTTAAGGCAATTACAAACATTTAATGATACAGAAAAAGTCTGTCTGATTTATCTTCTTTTGTCAGTGCTTATCACAGGGTTTAGTACATAGTAAATCTTTAATAAACAAATGGTGCCTATTAGTTACTTAAAAGAAATTATTCAGTGCCTACTGTGGGCTAGCCATTCTGGAAAAGAGTATAAATAAATTATATTGTAATGATACCCATAAAAGGGATACTCAGAGTAAAAAGTTGAGAACAAAGGTAGCTGTGTGTACATTTACACATGCATATATAAATATATATATTCATATACATACACACACATACATATATAAATTACATATTAACTTATATAATAAATATATTACATAACAAATAAATTACATAAAATAAACTACATATTAACACTCAGATGTGACTGTTAAGGGCTTCCCAGGTGGTGCTAGTGGTAAAGAACCCACCTGCCAATGCAGGAGGTGCAAGAGATACAGGTTCCATCCCTAGTTTGGGAAGATCCCCTGGAGGAGGGCATGGCAACCCAGTCCAGTATTCTTGCCTGGAGAATCCCATGGACAGAGAAGCCTAGTGGGCTACAGTCCATCAGTTCAGTTCAGTTCAGTCCCTCAGTTGTGTCTGACTCTTTGCGACCCCATGAATTGCAACATGCCAGGCCTCCCTGTCCATCACAAACTCCCATAGGGTCACACAAAGTTGGACATCACTGAAGCAACTTAGCATGCACATATGTATTTTACATACATATATATATATATATATATATATATATACGAGCTCATACATATATATGAGCATTTGAGCTCACACATGAAAAATAAGAAGGAGCTGTATTTTTTAAAATCTGGAGGAACAGCATTATATGCAGAACTGATATTGGGGCTAAGGGCCCAATTTAGACATGGATATGGCAAGTTTGAAGGTCAGAAGGCAAGCAGTGTGGCTGGACTATAGTAAGCAAGGGGAGAGAAATAAGAAATACATTGGAAAAGTCAGCAAGAACCAGACAAGTATCTACTCTGTGAAGACAGAAATCACTCGATAGGTCGGAAAACTTGAAATTTTTAAAACCATCTGAAATTTGTGGTGAGTAAAGAATCACAGGATTCCACACCATGTATCTGAGACTCCCATGTCCCTGCATTTCAACCTTCTGACATTCACCTTCCTGGATGAGAAATTACATTAGCAGGTCCATTACCTCCAAGTATACACGGGAGGGTAAAACCCAATTACCTGACAGAAATATTAGAGTCCATTCTGTCAAAGCAAGTTTCTGAAGCTACCCTTTCAGTAATCCAGTATTCTTTGTTAGAGAAAGCTAGCCACACGTGGTCAGAATCTCAACTCCTATCTTCCTTTCCTTGTATTGGCTATAAATCTGGTCACACTGCAGCCAAAGTGACAGCTGGATGTCGCTGAAGTAAGAATAAGTGCCAAGTGAGGTCATGGTATTTGGCTCACTGCTACATGGATCTATTTCCCTCTCTAGTTCTTTTACCATCTCTTGATAGATTAAGGTCTTTCCTTAATGTTAGATGCTATTAAACATGACAGAGACAGCAGAGCTATTTGTAATTTTCTTGATTCAAAATAGAAAAACCATCCCTCAAAAAAGGGAGAATGAACACATTAATTCAGAACACTTTTCTATTTGATTTCTATAACAGTAATATCCTCTAGCAGAGGGTGTGAAACCCTTCTCATACTCCTCAGGCCTTCCAGTCGGAGTCTGGCTCTGTGCCGCAGGGATCCTGCCCTATCCACCTCACCCATGAGCTAAGCCAGAATATGAGAGGTGCCCCTGCGGCACTCCAGCCATCACCCTGGGGAGGCTGCCTCACTCCTCCAAGGGAATAAGTATACTGCCTGTGTTTATCACTGCAGGATTCAGTTCAGCCCCCGACCTGGTATCTGGCTTAACTGCACATCCTAGACTGGCTGCCTCCCCTTCCCTGTACCACCTCCTCACATTCCTACAGCTGATATCTGCACTTCTAAGCAGACCACTGCCAAGGAATCCTCCTCTTTGGGTTGGCTCCTAGAGAATGCAAATTAGGACAATGTACAACATAAAACAGAATTTGTATAGAACTTGACATCATAAAAGGCTTAGCTACAATAAATTTACATTCAAAGTTAAGAGGGGACCTCCTTCCTTTGTCCTCATGTTTTTACATGGAAAGACTTCTACCCAGATTATAGCCCAGTTTTCTCTCTTTAGAGGTGATACCCATTGGTTCATGTTTCCTGATGGTGGGGGCTGGGGTGTACCATCAAAGAGCTACAATGATTCAAGACTCATTCTTTCTTCCTTCTCTAGCCCACCATGAAAGGAAATACCAATCTGGAGATATGTGTCTGCCTTCCTTCAGGCAGCCTCCCTCAAATCCAGCCTAGGAACTAAAGGTAGGGCTACTTCCTGTTGGAAATGCTTTTCGGTTGCATACCTAAGTCACATTTCTCAGTTGGCTACATGGATATTAAAGCTGGTATTTTGCAATCCTCTTGCACACATCCTGTCTTTTTCTTACTTAATGCTGAACTCGCCAACAGCATGCTTGCCCAACTGACCTTATGAGTCCATCTGTGTAGCTTTGTACCTCTGTGGTATCACTGAAATTCAACTACTGCTTTGTGACTTGTTTTCCATTGCATATGAAAACCATTTTTTCAAAGGTTCTCATTTTCCTCATGATTGTTTTATTTTATTCTGTGGTAGAAAATTGTGTGAGTACACAGGGATTTAGTAATAATTTGAAACAATAAAATTCTTATATCCCAAGTGGGATGGATTAACTGAGAATCCTTATTTGTTCATTGCCCTTTTAGCAAAGTCCTAAGCATATCTGAACACATCTCACCAGCAGGTCAGTTGAGTGGTGCAGCTCCCTCCTACCTTCTCATGGGCTCCCCTACGTACCCACTTGCCCTCTGACTGATGCCTGCTTCGGTCTGGCTTTTGAATAGGGGTGTGTTGTGATGCTGCGGGCACGCTTGTCTATGGCTTTGAAAGTGGATTCTTCTTGTCTATGGAGAATCTCCAGCAGATAACAACTTCCTATCTTCCTTGGAAAAATCAGGATCCTCTCACCTGGCCCACATCTTTCCCTCCAGATGCTGCAAAGCCAGCACAGATCATCTTCTCTGAGATTCCTCCTGGATGGGCTGAATAGTAAGTGTGTTCGCAGACCTCTCTCTCTAACACAGGCACTTGAATCTGCTGTAAGCGACTTGCTAGACCACCTTCTAAAAATAGATTGAGAAAGAGCTTGATTGTGAAGTAAACAACAGGTGATGTTAAAGAAATATATTTAAGTTCAAGCTTTCTCTACACCATCATTCGGTTTTGCCTAAGTCGATGCAGAATTCTGAATCTAAACACAGTGTCTTGTGCAGAATATCTTTATTTCCAGATGTGGCATCTTGGGGAAGAAAATCCATTGGCAAGAGAATAAGACCAAAAACACCTTTTTTCTAGTTTAATTCTGATTTAAATCTTAGTGTTTCAAAGATTGCTACATGTAAGATTCAGAAAGAGAAATTCAGTAATATATGACTTGGTGTTAGATTATTCTTATTATAAATATATATGACTATATACTTATACATGTACAGTTGACCCTTGAACAACACTGGTTTGAACTGTACAGGTCCACTTGGATATGTTTTCAATAGCAGATACAGCAGTACTACATCGCTTGTGGTTGGATGAATCCATGGATGCGGGATTGCAGATATGGAAGGCTGACTATAAATGATACTTGAATTAACCTCCACATTATTCAAAGGTCAACTGTAAATATTTTATGTAAATATAACTATATAACAACAATACATTTATAGGATTTCCTAATATAAACCAAAATCATGTTTCTCTTTTTCCTTTAATAACACTGGGGCCTAATTCCAACTCCAATTTAAAATGACTTTGATGATGAATACTAAATATATTATCTAGGGTGAAACAGACCACCAGCCCAGGTTGGATGCATGAGACAAGTGCTTGGACCTGGCGCACTGGGAAGACCCAGAGGGATCGGGCGGAGAGGGAGGTGGGAGGGGTGATCGGGATGGGGAATACATGTAAAACCATGGCTGATTCTTACCACTACAATATTGTAAAGTAATTAGCCTCCAACTAATAAAAAAAAATAAATTAAAAAAAAAAAAAAGTATTTCTTCCCTGGCCTGACCCTCAGGTAGGCCTATGTTAACAAGTGTTCTGTATGACTTATTCTATCACTTTAGATTTATGACTCATTTAAAAAAAGCTAAGTTTAGTATCTGATAGTTTTGTAACTTTCTGGAAACAATTTTTTTTTAATTAAAAAAAAAATACATATGGGGCTTCCCTACTGGCTCAGTGGTAAAAAATCCTCTTGCCAGCAACCCACTCCAGTATTCTTGCCTGGGAAATCTCATGGACAGAGTACTCTGGAGGGCTACAGTTCATGGGATCACAAAGAGTAGGACACAACTCAGTGACTAAATAACAACAAATATATATACATATAGCTGATTCACTTTCCAGTACAGCAGAAACTAAAAAAACATTGGAAGGCAACTATACTCCAATAAACATTTAAAAAATTATATTAAAATTAATTTACATTTAGATGTAAATTTAGATTTAGATTTAGATGTAGATTTAGATTTACAGTTTAGATGGTAAAGTATCTGCCTGCAAGGCAGGAGACCTGGTTTCAATCCCTGGGTCTGGAAAATCCCCTGGAGAAGGGAATGGCTACTTACTCCAGTATTACTACCTGGAGAATTTCATGGACAGCAAGGACAGAGGAGCCTGGCGGGCTATATAGTCCATGGCGTTGCAGAGTTGGACATGACTGAACGACTAATACAAGATGTACGGTATTTATGCTTTTTACTCCAAGCTATTAATACTCACAACATTGTGAGGTGGGCTGTGACACTGATTTCACGCCTGAAAAAGCCAGAACTCTGAAGGTTTGATCTTTCAGCAACTATGGGACAGAACTAAGAACTAGCCTGGGTCTGACTCTATATCTTACTTTTTTAATGCAATAACCTAATACAAAAATAATTTAATGTATTTAAAATCCTCTTTCCAGAGGATTTTAACAGGATTTTAATATTTTAACATCCCTGAAAGTGCTGTTTATTATCATGTCTCAAAATGGAGAACTTGTTATCTCTCTGAGACTGAAAGGCTGAATTCACCTTTAGTAAACTTTAACTACCTCTATCACCTGTTGGTCACAGAGTTGGTGAAGGCTGAAGGTATTAAAGAACAGGCACATTTACTCAAGGGCATTGAAGCCAGCCAGTTCATAAAAATTTACTGTTTCCTCTAAGCTAGGTAGATATTGACCCCTGGGGAGAGAGCAGTAAATTAGGCAGAGATCTGCCTCCAAGAGGCTCCCGCTCTAAGGGGTGAGATATAGAAAACGAGTCTGTAAAATAATGTCAAGTCCCTTTATGTGCAAGGAGATGATAAAGTGAAGAAGAGTGAAGGCAGTGAAGAGAGTGAAGCAGGACAGTCCTGCTGCAAGAAAACAGTCTGAGAAGATTTGAGTTGAGGATGGAGTGATGAGAAGAGGCTGTGAGGAGACTGAAACAGGAGTGCTCTGAGGCCAAGGAAACAAAGTACAAAGCTTGAGAGAGAAAGAAGACACAGGGCCTGAAGGTCAGCCAACAACGGGACAAAGGAGGAAAGGATGCTGGAGAGGTTCGGGGAGGTCCCATGCAGATTCTTCAGTGCTGGGATAGGAGGTCAGATTTATTCTTCTTTTTTTCTCATTGAAAACTTATTGTTATTATTACCCAAAAGTAAATATTTCAGCAACATTCTTCACATTCAGTTTGGGATGGAAATAGTTTCTAAATGTAACAAAAAGCCATTCAAGGTTTATCACCTGAGCCACACTGATTTAAATCCCCTTTTGATATTTATTAGCCATGGAATCTTAGCAAATGACTTAACTTCAGGGCCAAAACCCCCTCATTTGCAAAACAGGAGGATAAAATCTCCTCATATGGCAGTTGTAAAGATTTTAGAAAAATGCAGTTTGGCTGCAGGTACCCCAGTAAACTGAGAAGATGAAGGCTGTACAGGGTCAAAGATTAATTCCCCTCTCCTTCAAGCTCACAGACTTTGCCACTGTTTTGTTTGAAGTATGTTTAACTTCCCTTTCATGAATCACAGCCTTGTTGTGGCGAAGTGGCTTGCACAAATGGCAACGCACTCCACTACTCTTGCCTAGAGAGCCCCATGGACAGTAGGAAAAGGCAAAAAGATATGACACTGGAAGATAAGCCCCCCAGGTTGGAAGGTGTCCAGTATGCTACTGGGGAAGAGGCAAGAGCAGTTACTATTAGCTCCAGAAAGAATGGAGTGCCTGGGCTAAAGTGGAAACAACTCAGTTATGGATGTGTCTAGTGGTGAAAATAAAGTCCAAGGCTGTAAAGAATATTGTGCATGAATCTGAAATGTTAGGTCCATGAATCAAGGTATATTGAATGTGGTCTAGCAGGAGATGGCAAGATTGAACATTAATATCCTAGGAATTAGTGAAGTAAAATGGAAGGGAATGGGAAAATTTAATTTGGATGACCATTATATCTAGTAGTGTGGACAAGAATCCCTTAGAAGAAATGAAGTAGCCTTCACAATCCACAGAAGCATCACAAATGTAGTGTTTGGGTACAATCCCCCAATGATAGAATGATCTTGGTTAATTTCCAAAGCAAACCATTCAACATCACAGTAATCTAAGACTATGCCCAACTACTGATGCTGAAGAAACTGAAGTTGACTTATGAAGTTCTGTGAAGACCTACAAGACCTTCTAGAACTAACACCAAAAAAAAAAAAAAAAAATGTCCTTTTCATCATAGGGGATTAGAATGCAGAAGTAGGAAGACAAGAGATACCTGGAATAACAGGCAAGTTTGGCCTTGGAGTACAAAATGAAAAAGGACAAAGGCTAACAGAATTTTGTCAAGAGAACATGCTAGTCATACAAACACCCCTTTCCAACAACCCAAGAGACAACTCTACACATGGATATCACCAGACGGTCAATACTGAAATCAGATTGATTACATTCTTTGCAGCTGAAGATAGAGAAGCTCTATACAGTCAGCAAAAACAAGACTTGGAGCTGACTATGGCTCAGATCATCAGCTCCTTATTGCAAAATTCAGGCTCCAACTGAAAAAAGTAGGGAAAACCACTAGGCCATTCAGGTATGACCTAAATCAAATCTCTTCTGATTATACTGTGGAGGGGATAAATAGATTCAAGGGATTAGATCTGGTAGACAGAGTGCATAAAGAATTATGGATGGAGGTTCATAGCATTGTACGGGAGGCAGTGACCAAAACCATCCCCTCAAAACAGAAATACAAAAAGGCAAAGTGGTTGTCTCAGGAGGCTTTACAAATAGTTAAGAAAAGAAGATAAGTGAAGGGCAAGGGAGAAAGGGAAAAATATATACCGAACTGAAAGCAGAGTTCTAGAGAATAGCAATGAGAGATAAAAGGCCTTCTTAAATGAACAATGCAAAGAAGTAGAGGAAAACAACATAATGGGAAAGACTAGAGATTTCTTCAAGAAAATCGGAGATATTGAGGGAACACTTTATGCAAGGATGGGCATAATAAAGGTCAGAAACAGTAAGGACCCAACAGAAGCAGAAAAGGTTAAGACGTGCAAGAATACATAGAAGAGCTATACAAAAAAAGTTCTTAATGACCCAGATAACCATGATGGTGTGGTCACTCACTACATACACACCACAGATGGACATACCGGAGTGTGAAGTAAAGTGGGCCTTAGGAAGCATTTCTACCAAAAAAACAAAAACAAAAAACTAGTGGAGGTGACAGAATTCCAGTTAAGCTATTTCAAATCCTAAAAGATGATACTGTTAAAGTGTTGTACTCAATATGTCAGCAAATTTGGAAAACTCAGCAGTGGCCACAAGACTGGAAATGTCAGTTTTTATTCTAATTCCAATGAAGGGCAATGCCAAAGAATGTTCAAACATTTGTACAGTTGCACTCATTTCACATGCTAGCAAGGTTATGCTCAAGATCCTTCTAGCTAGGCTTCAGCAGCATGTGAACTGAAAACTTCCAGGTGCACAAGCTGGGTTTCAAAGAGGCAGAGGAACCACAGATCAAATTGCCAATATTTGTTGGATCATGAAGAAAGCAAGGGAATTCCAGAAAAACAAGTAAACTGTGTATATCTTAAAGAGATGGGAATACCAAACCACCTTACCTATCACCTGAGAAACCTGTATGCAGGACAAGAAGCAACAGTTAGAACCACACATGGAACAACTGACTGGTTTGAAATTGGGTTAAGGAGTATGATAAGACCATATATTGTAACCTTGCTTATTTAACTTCTATGCAGAGTCCATCATGGGAAATGGCAGGCTGGCTGGATCGCAAGCTGGAATTAAGATTGCTGGGAGAAATATCAACAATCTCTGATATGCAGATGACACCACTTTAATGGCAGAAAGTGATAAGGAACTAAAGAGCCTCTTGATGAGGGTGAAAGAGAAGGGTGAAAAAGCTGGCTTAAAACTCAACATTCAAAAAAACTAAGATCATGGCATCCCATCACTTCATGGCAAGTAGATGGGGAAAAACTGGAAACAGTGGCAGATTTTATTTTCTTGGGCTCCAAAATCACTGCAGACAATGACTATAGCCATGAAATTAAAAGACACTTATTCCTTGGAAGAAAAGTTATAACAAACCTAAACAGCATAATAAAAAGTGGAGACATCACCTTGCTGACAAAGTCCCATCTAGTCAAAGCTATGGTTTTTCCAGTAGTCATGTATGGATGTGAGAGTTGGACCATAAAAAAGGCTGAACAGTGAAGAACTGATGCTTTCAAACTGTGATGCTGGAGAAGACTCTTGAGAGTCCCTTGGACTGCAAAGAGATCAAACTAGTCAATCCTAAAGGAAATCAACCTTGAATATTCTTTGGAAGGACTGATGCTGAAGCTGAAGCTCCAATACTTTGGCCACCTGATACGAAGAGCTGACTCTTTTGAAAAGATCCTGACGCTGGGAAAGATTGAAGGCAAAAGGAGAAGGGGGATGCAGAAGATGAGATGGTTAGAGAGCACTGCCGACTCATGGATATGAATTTGAGTAAAGTCCAAGAGAAAGTGGAGGGCAGAGGAGTCTGGTGTGCTGCATTCCATGTGGCTGCAAAGAGTCAGAAATAATTTAGCAACTGAACAATAGCAACAATGTTTAATTCACAGAGTTGTGTTAGCTTCTGCTATATAGCAAAGTGATTCAGTTTTACATACACACACACACACACACATATATACTTTTTCAGATTCTTTTCCATTACAGATTATTATGAGATATTGACTATAGCTCCCTATGCTATACAGTAGGACATTGTTGTTTATCTATTTTGTATATAATAGTGTGTACATGTTAATCCCAAACTCCTAATTTATCCCTCTCTTCGCCTTACCCCTTTGCTAACCATAAGTTTGTCTTCTTCATCTGCAAGCTTACAGAGTTTAAATGACATATAGACAGAAGCAGGACAATAATATCAACTCATTCAGGTCTTTTGGCATTTCACTATGGCTTTAAGAACTCTAGAATCTAGCCCAGGCCTCCTCAGATTGCAGTCAGCAGGCCAATTCCATGTCGGCCCCTACTACCATCTCCCAACACCAACTCTGAGTCTATTTATTACAATCCATGAATTAATTATGGTTTGTACATTTTTAAATGGTTGAAAAGATAATCAAAAAAAGAGAATAACATTTTGTGACAAGACTATTGCATAAAGTTTCAATTTCATGGAGAAATTCCATTGGAACAAAGCCACATCCATCCTGTAACATATTGTCGAAGGCTGCTTTGTGGTACAATGGCAGATTTGAATAGCTGTGACAGAAACCATATGGCCTACAAGGGATAAGATATTCTATCTGGCCTTTCACAGATCTAGCCTACCTCTGATTAAGCCATCCTGATGGAAAAATTATAAAATAGTTCATTCTCTAATCTGATGAACTATTACAGTTAAATAAACCATGGTTCCTATCTTTCAGAAGGAAGAAGGCTAAAGCAGGTACTGGTTGATATCGATTCCATGACATGCTCTCAAAACCGGCAATCAGTAGTGATGTTTAAGCAAAAGTAAAAGGTTTACCTTTACTAATACTTCCCCAGCCAGTCACAACACAAATCTCAGAAGAAAACAGAGGCTCCAAGTTGTGGGGAAGACATACTGGTCTCACCACTGAGTTGAATTCTAGGGCAGAGCTCAGTTGTATCAGGGCGATGTCAGAGTCATAGCTCTGGGTGTCAAAGTCTTCGTGCATCACGATGTGTTTCGCCCTTCTCACCTGCATCATGAGCAAACAAGAAATTACAAGGCAGAGTTAATGATTCAAACAACTTCCTTGTATACTGGTCCGAAATAATCCTAAATCTCTGCTTTTCCACATGTCACCCAGTGAAGGTGACTTTGTACTAAATTTAAAAGGGAAATCTGTTAATAATTTGCAGGAATCCATGAAGCACTTTCTGAGGAATGGTGGTCCTGGGAAAATTAGACTCTGTGGACCTGTGTACACGGACCTCAGTTTGTACTTTCTAACTCACTTAGCCTAATTCTCAGATTAAATGTGATCGCAAATTGTATCTTTAAATGTTGGTACAAATGATAAGTATAAGAGGGCATTAGGAGATTAATAACTGATCTCATGTTTTAGATAAATGTATTCCTTGAAAATGAAAGTCGCTCAGTCATGTCTGACTCTTTGTAACCCCGTGGACTATACAGTCCATGGAATTCTCCAGGCCAGAATACTGGAGTGGGTACCCTTTCCCATCTCCAGAGGATCTTCTCAATCCAGGGATCGAACCCAGGTCTCCTGAATTGCAGGCGGATTCCTAACTAGCTGAGCCACAAGGGAAGTCCAAATGTATTCCCTGGCATGTGACAATTTAGAGAATAGGCGGAGTGACCTTTAAAAACATTTCTCACCTGCTCAGTTGATTCCTTCAAGGTTCTGTCATGGTCTCCAGCAACAACGGTCCAGAAGAGTGGATTATTTTTCCTGGAGGAAGAACAACCAAAGTTTGATATGAAAACACATTTTTCACCATTTGGTCTAATCCTATCTGGCCCTACCAACATCCACTGTTCAGTCCAGGCAGGGGCCACCCACCACCTTGTCTGGCATCTTTGTGTAACCAGGGAAGCTGCACCATGCTTTCTGCTCTATCTGAGGACAAGTTCCTAATTGTCTATCTTGCCCCCTTCTTTTGTCCATAAAATGTTTCTGGAGCATTTATCAAATATCACCAGCTTATTTTTAAGTTGAGAAGGAAAAAAGAAACCTAGAACTTATTTTAATTTCATAGTGACATTAGGAATACATGAAGAAAATTACATTTCTAATGAGATCTATGCTTTACTGTTAAAAATATTCAAATACTATATTATAGGAATATATCTTTTAAATTATCATCTTTTATAAAATAACCAGAATTTATGAAGCTAAGGCTAATTTATCAATTCCTCAATAGGTAAAATTCACATCTGATATCAGAGATTAGGGCACTGACTACTTTTAAAGGGGAGAGGACATAAGGGGGACCCCAAGGTATTGGAACCATTTCCTTTCTTGGTCTGGGTGCTAGTTACATGGTTGTTTGCTTTGTATAAATTCCTCTAACTGCACTAATGTTTTGCACACATTTAATATATTTCCAAAAAAGTTTAAAAACTTGAATCTACGTCCATTAACAGCTGAAAAAATATCCAAGGAAAGAGTCCCTCAATTGCCACAAATATATTGTCACCGATTCTTCATTTTTCAAAACTGTTTCTTCAGTAAAAGTAAAGTTAAGGAAAGTATTTTTTCAATACACTTAGTGAAAAAAGTTTCTTAATTCAGGTAGGCATCTTCTCTCTAATCCTAACGATGCCCATTTCAGTTCCTTGCATGATGAGTCTGACTCACTGCTGTGTTTCTGTGTGCCTTTATTAAGGGAGCCGACTAGAGTAAAGTGCTTAGCAAGTATACGGGAGATAGTAATGACTCCGTAATGGTAGCCATTATCGTTGTTATTATCTGTCATGCACTCTAATGGAAGGATCAACTTTATTTTCAAAGTCACTCTCTAAATCAGTACTTAGTAGTAAAGAAACTTATTTCTTAAAGCTGTTACCAAGGCTGCTGCCCTAGAGTCATACCCCTGTCCCTCCCTTGGATGGAAATCAACTGCTCTTATCTAAGTTTTGGAAGGAAGCTGCAAAGAGAAAAACAAGAACTGGTTGACCCTAGAAAGGGCTTCTCTGGTGGCTCAGTGGTAAATGATCCGCCTGCTGGTACGTGGAACTTGGTTTCCATCCGTAGTCCAAGAAGATCTCACATGCTGTGGAGCAACTGAACCCATCTGCCACAACTATTGAGGTTGTGCTCCAGAGCCTGGGAGCACAGCTGCTGAAGCTTGAGAGCCCTAGAGCCTGAGCTCGGCGACAAGAAAAGCCTCTGCAATGAGAAATCCGCATACTGCAATGAGAAATCCGCATACTACAATGAAAAGTAACTCCTGCTTGCCATATCTAGAGGGAAGCCCACACAGCAAAGAAGATCCAGCGCACCCAAAAATAAATGGATAAAGAAATAAATGCATGCAGGTGTGCTAAGTCACTTCAGTGATGTCCGACTCTTGTGATCCCACGGACTGTAGCCTGCCAGGCTCTTCTGTCCATGGGATTCTCCAGGCAAGAATACTGGAGTGGGTAGCTATGCCCTCCTCCAGGGGATCTTCCTGACCCAAGGATGGAACCCACACATCTCATGTCTCTTACATCTCCTGCATTGGTAGGTGGGTTCTTTAACACTAGCACCACCTGGGAAGCCCAAATAAATAAGTATTTTAAAAGGCAGCTTCTAAGAAAATAAAGAAGGTGGCTGAAACTGGAAAAAACCTACTGATTTAGGTTTGAGATAGATTCCAATGTACAACTGCAAAATGAGTTTATTCCCCTAAATTAAGTTTATTTTTTAAACTGTTTATTTTATACTGGAGTATAGTAGATAAACAGTGTTGTGAGAATTTCACGTGGACAGCAAAGTGACTCAGATATACATGCATCCAGTCATTCTCCTCCAAACTCCCCTCCTATCCAAGCTGCCACATAGCACTGAGAAGAGTTTCCTGTGCTATACATTAGGACCTAAAACCCCACATGAAGAAGAATGTGGAGTCAACAAAAGGAGAACATGCCGGGTTTTCCCTAAAAACAGAACAGTACCCAGCAACTTGTTAGAAACACAGATTCTCTGGCTCCACACCAGACTTCAAGTCAGAAACCTTCCAGACAATTCTGGCATTTGCTAGGGCTAATACTAAGGGTAACCAGTGCTAGAGACGGTAGCATATGGGATGTAGCACAATGTTGCTGTCAGCTGTCCTCATCATCTTTTGTAGCAATGTCACCCAGCCTGGCACGTGGTGACCTTCAGCAAAAATGATGTCTATCTCAGCTCCCAGATTTTGTACATTTCCCCAACTGGCTCATTCCATGAAGTAGCTTCCCAATAGATTTGGGTACTCCTGTTCAAAGGAGGCTGGAGCCCTGGATATCTGTAAGATTGGTGAGGATGAGACAAGGAGAAGAAAGTTCTTGAAGGAATCAGCTGAAGGATTCCCAAAGGCAAGGCATGAGTGAACATACTAATTCTTTACACTAGCATCCCAAATGCTTCTGGGGTAAAGATATACACAGTCCCAACTTCAAAAATGATATTTTTCTGGTCAAGTAAATTAGACAACTATAAAAGTTAAAGAAAAAATGAGGTAACCTTTTCCACATCAATATAAGGCACAATGTTTTGTGTAAAAATTATAAAATACTACATAAAATATATATGTATAAACATTAAGGTAAAATCAGATAATTAAAACATTCTTAATATTGATTACTTCTAGAGAGGAAGAATGGATTAGAGAAACGGAGAGGGTAGTTTAGATTTTACTTGATAACTTTATTTGAACTGTCTTTTTAAAAACAGACAATACTACTACTTAAGCAAAATTTTACAAAGAAAACAAGAAGGGTCACTAAAATTACATACAAATCTTTTTGTGGTTAACTTAAATGGTTCACAAACATTTATAGCTGACTGTGTTTATTAATCTCAATTGACTCCTCAAGTTGAATATTTCATCTTGTAAAGAATGGTTTGGTGTGGTCTATATCTTGCTGCAAAGAATCATAGTCTATGACATAAATTCAAGAGTAAACTATTTGACAAGGGAGTCTGACAAAGCTTCTTCTGTGCCTCTGGCATCAGTACTAATAGCTGGTTTCTCCAATACATTAATTTTCATTAATTAGTCAGGTGTGATTGAGGCTTTTCCATGGTACATAAAAATGCACTTTGATAGAATTCTTATAAATTGAATTTCTCCAAGGGCTGGGGGGTGCTAGAATGAACCATGTGGTTGAGGTGGAAATATCTGTGTGATCTCATGTTTACCTTAATATAGGTACAGACAGAAAAATAGGTTTATGTAAGTGAGTTAGTATGCCTACTTACACTTTCTAACTCTGTGAGCTAAGAGGTGCTATAAGCAATAACAACACCCTAGTAGCAGCCGGGATGCTCAGCACCCAGATCTTAACTTCTCATGCAGCTTATGGGAGAAATGGCTGCTTCTAAGACTGAGAGGGGACACAAAAGATGAACTTGGAGCATCTTTGTCCCAAAAGGATGGCAGCATGTCAAAAAGACAAGAACTAGTGGTGGTCAAAACTGGAACACTCACCTGGAAAGAACTCACAGGGATCAAAGCTGGAACAATTCGAGCAACAAAATAAATATGTAGTATTAACAAAAAGTAAATGTCCTCAAGCCCATACTGGTTTAATACACAACTTAATAAGTAAAAGGAAAGTGAAAATTGCTCATGTCCAACTCTTTGCAACCCCATTGACTATACATTCCATGGATTCTCCAGGCCAGAATACTGGAGTGGGTAGCCCTTCCCTTCTCCAAGGGGGATCTTCCCAACCTAGGGGTCGAACCCAGGTCTCCCACATTGCAGGTGGATTCTTTACCAGCTGAGCCACCAGGGAAGCCCAAGAATACTGGAGTGGGTAGCCTATCCCTTTTCCAGCAGATCTTCCCAACCCAGGAATTGAACTGGGGCCTCCTGCATTGCAGGCGGATTCTTTACCAACTGAGCTACTAGGGAAGCCCCAATAGAAGGAAGAGAAGAGGCAAATCTCCCATATAGAATAACTTTAATTTATGCAGAAAACTCTGCACTCAAGATGATAGAGCTTAATGCCCAACTGCTTGAGTGTGGGCTACCCTTAGCCACTTGCTTGCAAAGAATAGGTAACAATGGGAGGAAGATGTCACTTTACAGTGGCGACACCTGGCAAATACCAGGTTAATGTCATCAGTGAGAAATCATGCTGGTAGCATGTACCCTTTATATGATGTGATGAAAAGGACATGTCACCTTTGTGGATTTCCTGTGGAGTCCCAGAAAAACCATGAGAAAAAATATCTGATGAACTCAAACTGAGGTACCTTCTACAAAACACCAGATGAGTACTCCTAAATACCGTCAAGACCATTAAAAACAAGGTCTGTGAGACTCAGAGCCAAGAGGAGCCCAAGGAGACAGGACAACTAAATGTAACTTGGTGTTCCAAATGGCAGGGGGAACAACTACACAGACCTTGAGACAGGAACAAGCACAGCATGTTTGAGAAATGGGGTGGGCTCACTGGGGACAAGCAAGAAAGGGTCAAGATGGACTCATGGAAAGGGCGTGGTTCTGGACTTTGACTATACATTGGAATCATTTGGGGAGTATATATTTATTTAGAAGTATAGTTGACTTACAGTGGTGTGTTTATTTCTGATGAACAGCAAGGTGATTCAGTTATACATATACATGTATTTTAAAAAATATTGCTTTCCACTATGATTTGTCATAGGATACTGATATATATATAACAGAGAATATAGTTCTCTGTGCTATACAGTAGGATCTTGTTATTAATCCTGGGGTGTATATAAATATACAGAGTCCATTTTGTTCCACTGATCTATATTTCTGTCTTTGTGCCAGTACCATACTATCTTGATGACTGTGGCTTTGTAGTAGAGCCTGAAGTTAGACAGATTGATTCCTCCAGTTCCGTCTTCTTTCTCAAGATTGCTTTGGCTATTTGAGGTTTTTTGTATTTCCATAAATTGTGAAATTATTTGTTCTAGTTCTGTGAAGAATACTGTTGGTAGCTTGATAGGGATTGCACTGAATCTATAGATTGCTTTGGATAGTATACTCATTTTCACAATATTGATTCTTCCAATCCGTGAACAAGGGATATTTCTCCATCTGTTTGTGTCCTCTTTGATTTCTTTCATCAGTGTTTTATAGTTTTCTATGTATAGGTCTTTTGTTTCTTTAGGTAGATATACTCCTAAGTATTTTATTCTCTTTGTTGCAATATGTACGGACACCTTATCTTCGACAAAGGAGGCAAGAATATACAACGGAAAAAAGACAACCTCTTTAACAAGTGGTACTGCGAAAACTGGTCAACCACTTGTAAAAGAATGAAACTAGAACACTTTCTAATACCATACAGAAAAATAAACTCAAAATGGATTAAAGATCTAAATGTAAGACCAGAAACTATAAAACTCCTAGAGGAGGACACAGGCAAAACACTCTCTGACATAAATCACAGCAGGATCCTCTATGACCCACCTCCCAGAATATTGGAAATAAAAGCAAAAATAAATAAATGGGACCTAATCAAACTTAAAAGCTTTTGCACAACAAAGGAAACTATAAGCAAGGTGAAAAGACAGCCCTCAGATTGTGAGAAAATAATAGCAAATGAAGAAACAGACAAAGGATTAATCTCAAAAATATACAAGCAACTCCTGAAGCTCAATTCCAGAAAAATAAATAACCCAATCCAAAAATGGGCCAAAGATCTAAACAGACATTTCTCCAAAGAAGACATACAGATGGCTAACAAACACATGAAAAGATGCTCAACATCACTCATTATCAGGGAAATGCAAATCAAAACCTCAATGAAGTACCATTACACACCAGTCAGGATGGCTGCTATCCAAAAGTCGACAAGCAGTAAATGCTGGAGAGGGTGTGGAGAAAAGGGAACCCTCTTACACTGTTGGTGGGAATGCAAACTAGTACAGCCGCTATGGAGAACAGTGTGGAGACTTCTTAAAAAGCTGGAAATAGAACTGCCATATGACCCAGCAATCCCACTTCTGGGCATACACACCAAGGAAACCAGATCTGAAAGAGACATGTGCACCCCAATGTTCATCACAGCACTGTTTATAATAGCCAGGACATGGAAGCAACCTAGATGACCATCAGCAGACGAATGGATAAGAAAGCTGTGGTACATATACACTATGGAATATTACTCAGCCATTAAAAAGAATTCATTTGAATCAGTTCTAATGAGATGGATGAAACTGGAGCCCATTATACAGAGTGAAGTAAGCCATAATGATAAAGACCAATACAGTATGCTACTGCATATATTTGGAATTTAAAAAGATGGTAATGATAACCTTATATGCAAAACAGAAAAAGAGACACAGATGTACATAACAGACTTTTAGACTCTGTGGGAGAAGGCGAGGGTGGGATGTTCTGAGAGAACAGCATTGAAACAAGTATACTATCAAGGGTGAAACAGATCACCAGCCCAGGTTGGACGCATGAGACAAGTGCTCAGGGCTGGTGCACTGGGAAGACCCAGAGGGATGGGATGGAGAGGGAGGTGGGAGGGGGGATCGGGATGGGGAACACATGTAAATACATGGCTGATTCATGTCAATGTATGGCAAAAACCACTACAATATTGTAAAGTAACTAGCCTCCAACTAATAAAAACAAATGGAAAAAAAAAATATATATATATATATACAGAGTCCAGAATATGTCTACAAGTGATTAACTTAATTAGTCTGGATTGAAAAGAATTAATTATAGTTACACACATCCACATGCTAATCCATATGATATATTTTAAAGACAAAAGCAAATCACAGAGGAATATAAACTGTAATTCTTTTACATTAATACAGGAAAAACAAGACAATAGACTGGTTTTAGGAATTCATAGATGTTAAAACCACCCCTCAAAAGGCAAAGGAATTGTAAATGCAAAATTTAACATAATATTTACCTCTCTGGGAGGGGCACTGAGAGGGCTTGATAGTTTAAAAATCCTTCTTACACTAAATAGTAGGACCATTCTTTAGACTACATGTGTATATTTTGTATATTTTTTCACATCATAGTATAGTTTACAATTTAAAAACATTGAGAGTTCAGTGATCAAGGTGGTGAATTATCCTACAGTGTTCTCCACTGTTGTGATCCCACTTTAAGAAGAATGATCCTAAATCAATCCAGGGTATAATGCACTGCATGACGAGGGCTGTGGAGTTACAAATACTAAAACAGTAAGCATTCAGTTTAAAGATTAAGTTAAGGGCAATGTGAGAGGGATCTCCAAGTCTAGGAAGGATGATTACATGCAAGTAGAAAGAGATTGAGTTCTTGTTTTCTGGAACTGCAATAAATTTAGATTATTAAATTATTGCTATAGAGAAGCAGACTTGGGCTCAACATAATAATCAGAGATCCCTGTAAATGGGATGAACAATTTCAAGATTTGATTTGCTTTTCTTCACCGACCTTGTTTAAAAAGAGGCTAAATGGACATGGGTCAGAAACACTGAAAGGAAGAATCATGCTTTAGAATCAGTCTGCATGGTTTTAGGAGTTACACAATTATATTTATGTTCTAGGTATGGTACAAAAAAGGCTTCCCTGGTGACTCAGTGGTAAAGAAGCCACCTGCCAATGCAGATTTGATCCCTGGGTCTGGAAGATCCCCTGGAGAAGGAAATGGCAACCCACTCTAGTATTTTTGTCTGGGAAATCCCTTGGACAGAGGAACCTGGCAGGCTATAGTCCATGAGGTTTCAAAAGAGTCAGACACAACTTAGTGACTAAAACAACAAACAACATGATTATTGTTGTTGTTCAGTTACCAAGTCAGGCTCCTCAGTCCTTCACTATCTCCCAGAGTTTGCTCAAATTCATGTCTATTGAGTTGGTGATGCTACCTAACCATCCCATTCCCTGCTGCCCCCTTCTCCATTTGCCTTCAGTCTTTCCCAGCATCAAGGTCTTTTCCAGTGAGTTGGTTCTTCATATCAGGTGGCCAAAGAATTGGAGTTTCAGCTTCAGCAAACAACGTGGTACATAAATACATTAATAAAATATCATCAGTCTCACTCACGATTGCACACAATGCGCTGCAGTCAGAATCCAAATCGAGTTGATGATGGCACCTCCACATTGGTGATTGCCAAGAAACCTCAAACCCACCTGCCATGGCCAACAGTGGGGGCAGGCTTCTATTCCTCCTGCAATTCTTCTAGAAAGCCACTGGGGACTAAACGGAGGGATGCCACAGACACCTACAGCAAAAGAGATCAAACTAATGACCCATTCAACTGAAATAATTAAGAACACACCCCTTCCCAATATGTCTTGCCATAGTCAACAGTAGCAATTACCAAACACCAGATGAGTTTCAAGAAGATGCAGATTCCTAAGACCCATCTCTGAAGAATTTGATTTTAAAAGCTTGCCTAAGTGACTCTGCTAACCAGTCAGGTTTTATAGGTACTGGCCTACAGAATTATGGGCTTCCCGAGTGGCTCAGTGGTAAAGAATCCACCTGCCAATTCAGGAAGATCCCCTGGAGAAGGAAACGGAAACCTATTCCAGTATTCCATGGAAAACCCCATGGAGAGAGGAGCCTGGTGGGCTACAGTCCATGGGGTTGCAAAGAGTCAGACATGACTTAGTAAGTGAACAATAATAACTACAGAATTGTATTTATTCATTCCTTTAATAAATACTTAATTAGTACTTGGTGTTATCAGGCACTGCTCTAGACATTGGTGTTGTATCAGTGAATAGAACAGACAAAAATCCTCGCCCTCACAGAACTTATGTTCTAGCAGGAAAATTCTATTTGTGAGCCAAGGGTATGCGGTTCTTTATTATATGTTCTTATTTTATGTCTCTTTCTCATTGTGTGAAACCATTTACCCATCCCCAGACACTCCAAATTTGCTTAGACATCCAAATGCCGTTCTCTTGTCTAGAATACTGCTGTGACTCAGATCAAATACTGTCTTCCCCATGAAGCCTTCTCTGACTCCCCTTCCAGAGACAGACATTCTTCCTTCTTTACATCTCCCTGTGCAATTTTCTATTACAAATCATCAACTGTAATATGTATAATACATGCATATACAGCAATGAAAGATCATAATATTTAACATAACACTTAAGTCATAATGAAATTAAAAATTAAAAGTGTGTTAAGAAACAAAACCAAAAAACTCTGCTTTCTCCCTTTGCCCCTGCATGCAAAATCTTATTACAGGATCTGGAAAGATATGTTAAATATGAAATTTGCATATGAATAGATGAGGACAAAAGATTGCTCTCTGTACCTCCTTCTTCCTATCATAAAGCTTAATTCTTCTTCCTTCATTTAGGGAGTGCATGCAAAAACCCAAACAGAATTCTAAAACTTTCATGAGCCTAAATATAAAACCCATTCTTCCTCACTGCAAAGTATTATCAACGTGAGATGAGGCTTTTGAAAAGAGACATCTAGTTAAGAAAGAAGATTAAATGGATAATAATCACATGGCTATCAACTCACCATATGGAATAACTTTTGCAGAAGATATAGGATTGGTTTTGGGAAATGATGTTGATCCAATTTTATTTAAAGAGTCTGTAGAGAAAAAAAATAATTGAAAGTATTTACAGTAGCCTAAACTAGCTGAGTTACTTGCTTATGTGGTCAATCATAAAACCACTCTTAAGTTGATCTTTCAAATGCTAAATGCCAGATGCCATATATGTGAATTGGTTGTATACCTTTTAATATTCCTGTTGTATCTGACTCTTCTAAGCATTATCTCCTTCTTTGGCCTCATGACATTACTCTTTTTTTAAAAAATATATATATCTATGGTCATCTCTTCCCAATCTCAGTCTTTTTTTCAGGATCTATTCTTCAGTCTGAAAAATGTTCCATGAAAGTACTGTACATAGCTTTATTTGTATTTGTTTACATATATATGAGTTCCAAATACCTCTCTTCAATCTAAATCTCCTTCCTGAATTCGAGGCCTAGACTAGATCTAGAACTACAAATTCTAGGACTGCTGGATATGTCCATCTTGATCTCCCACAACCTCATAAAAGTCCAGGTATCTCAAACAGAATCCATTGATTTTAACAGTCAAGATGGTCTTACAATGCTTCCCTGTATCATTTAATGACTCTACCATCGATCCAGCCACTCAAGCTAGTATCCTGAAAATCGTGCTGGAAATTTTCTTCAATTACCTCCTCCCCTACAACATAACTAAATCAAGAAATGTCAGAATAAATTCTTACACTGACTTGCTCACACTCCCCTTGCAAGTGAGTTTACCGCTAACCTCGATTGCCATCTTCTATGTTACTGCTAAGGTTTGAATGTTGGCTCTACCTCTTGCCAGCTATGCATCTTTGGGAAAGTTACTGAACTCCTCTAAGCCTCTATTCCCTCATCTGTGAAAAGCAGAACAGTATACAAACCTTTTAGGTTTGTACTGAGGAATAAAGTAATACTGTATGTGAAGTGATTAGTCCACACATGGTACAGGGTAAATAATCAATAAATATTAACTAGACATCCTATGTGACTGGTGATGGAAGTAAAATCCAAAGCTGTAAAGAACAATATTACATAGGAACCTGGAATGTTAGGTCCATGAATCAAGGTAAATTGGAAGTGGTCAAATAGGAGATAGCAAGAGTGAACATAGACATTTTAGGAATCTGTGAACTAAAATGGACTGGAATGGGTGAATTTAACTCAGATGACCATTATATCTACTGCTGTGGGCAAGAATCCCTTAGAAGAAATGGAGTAGCCCTCATAGTCAACAAAAGAGTCCAAAATGCAGTTCTTGGGTGCAATCTCAAAGATGACAGAATAATTTCTGTTTGTTTCCAAGGAAAACCATTCAAATCACAGTAATCCAAGTCTATGCCCCAACCAGTAATGCTGAAGAAGGTGAAGTTGAATGGTTCTATGAAAATCTACAAGACTTTCTGGAACTAATACCCAAAAATATGTCCTTTTCATTATAGAGGACTGGAATGCAAAAGTAGGAAGTCAAGAGATACGTGGAAAAACAGCAACTTTGGCCTTGGAGTACAGAATGAAGCAGGACAAAGGCTAACAGAGTTTTGCCAAGAGAACGCACTGGTTATAGCAAAAACCCTCTTCCAACAACACAAGAGATGACTCTACACATGGACATCACCAGATGGTCAATATTGAAATCAGATTGATTATATTTTTTGCAGCCGAAGATGGAGGAGCTCTATACAGTCAACAAAAACAAGACCGGGAGCTGACTGTGGCTCATGAATTCATTATTGAAAAATTCAGATTAAATTGAAGAAAGTAGGGAAAATCACCAGATGATTCAGGTATGACCTAGATAAAATCCCTTATGATTATACAGTGGGAGTGGGAAATAGATTCAGGGAATTAGATCTGATACACAGAGTGCCTGAAGACCTATGGACAGAGGTTCATGACATCATACAGGAGGCAGTGATCAAGACTATCTCCAAGAAAAAGAAATGCAAAAAGACAAAATGGTTGTCTGAGAAGGCCTTACAAATAGCTGAGGAGAAAAGAAAAGCTAAAGGCAAAGGGGAAAAGGAAAGATACACCCACTTGAATGCAAAGTTCCACAGAGTAGCAAGGAGAGATAAGAAAGTCTTCCTCAGCAATCAATGAAAATATAGGGAAAACAATAGAGTGGGAAAGATTAGAGATCTGTTCAAAAAAATGAGAGATACCAAGGGAACATTTCACACAAAGATGGGCACAATAAAGCACAAAAATGGTTAGGACCTAATAGAAGCAGAAGATATTAAAAAGAGGTGGCAAGAAAACACAGCAGAACTACACAAAAAAGATCTTCATGACCCAAATAGCCATGATGGTGTGGTCACTCACCTAGAGTCAGACATTCTGGGATGCGAAGTCAAGTGGGCCTAAGGAAGCATCACCACAAACAAAGCTAATGCAGGTGATGGAATTCCAGCTGAGCTATTTCAAATCCTGAAAGATGATGCTGTGAAAGTGCTGCACTCAATATGTCAGCAAATATGGAAAACTCAGGAGTGGCCACAGGACTGGAAAAGGTCAGTTTTCATTCCAATCCAACAGAAAGGCAATGCCAAAGAATGCTCAAACTACCACACAATTGCACTCATCTCACACACTAGCAAAGTAATGCTCAAAATTCTCCAAGCTAGGCTTCAACAGTATGTGAACCATGAACATTCAGATGTTCAAGGTAGATTTAGAAAAGGCAGATGAATGAGAGATCAAATTACTAACATCTGTTGGATCATCGAAAAAGAAAGAGAGTTCCAGAAAAACATCTACTTCTGCTTTATTGACTATGCCAAAGCCTTTCAGTGTGCAGATCACAACAAACTGTGGAAAAGTCTTAAAGAGATGGGAATACCAGACCACCTTACCTGCCTCCTGAGAAATCTGTAATGCAGGTCAAGAAGCAACAGTTAGAACTGGACATGGAACAACAGACTGGTTCCAAATTGGGAAAGGAGTACGTCAAGGCTGTATATTGTCATCCTGCTTATTCAACTTATATGCAGAGTACATCATGCAAAATTCTGGGCTGGATGAAGCACAAGCTGGAATCAAGATTGCTGGGAGAAATATCAATAACCTCAGATATGCAGATGACATCACCCTTATGGCAGAAAATGAAGAGGAACTAAAGAGCCTCTTAATGAAAGTGAAAGAAGAGAGTGAATAAGTTGGCTTAAAACTCAACACTGAGAAAACAAAGATCATGGCATCCGGTCCCACCACTTCATGGCAAATAGATGGGGAAACAGTGAGAAACTTTATTTTGGGGGGCTCCAAAATCACTGCAGATGGTGACTGCAGCCATGAAATTAAATGATGCTTGCTCCTTGGAAGAAGAACTATGACCAGCCTAGACAGCATATTAAAAAAAAAGACATTATTTTGCTGATAAAGGTCCATCTAGTCAAAGCTATGGTGTTCCCAGTAGTCCTGTATGGATGTGAGATTTGGACTATAAAGAAAGCTGACTGCTGAAGAATTGATGCTTTTGAACTGTGGTGTTTGAGAAGACTCTTGAGAGTCTCTTGGACTGCAAGGAGATCCAACCAGTCAATCCTAAAGGAAATCAGCCTGAATATTCATTGGAAGGACTGATGCTGAAGCTGAAACTCCAATACTTTGGCTACCTGATGTAAAGACTGACTCTTTTGAAAAGACCCTGATGCTGGGAAAGATTGAAGGTAGGAGGAGAAGGGGAAAACAGAGGATGAGATGGCTGGATGGCATCACTGACTCAATGGACATGAATTTGAGTAAGCTCCAGGATTTGGTGATGGACAGGGAAGCCTGGCATGCTGCAGTCAATGGGGTGGCAAAGAGTCAAACACGACTGAGTGACTGAATTGAACTTACTGAGAAGAACAGGCAACTAGGGAGTGAGAAGATTAGAAGAATGATATCAAGCAGATGCTGTTTAACTAAGTTACTTGTCACATTCTGATATTCATTTGACTATGGAATTGATGGTTATTGCCTGATTTCATTGCCATTTTAAAATGTTGGTATCATTAACCTTTGTTCAGGGCTTGCTGACCTTTTAACTTTTTCTTCTAGATGATGAAAACCAAATAGAATTGCTACCAGGAGACAAGTTCTCCCTGTGGTCATGGCAATGAACAGAACACATTTACTCTGAAGAACAAATGAAAGTGAACTGAGAGGTGAGCTCTTGCATTCAGCTGGACCAGCAGCAGAGTTGCTTTTTGAATTATCAGCTAGGTGGCTGATTTTGGACTGGAATGGGAGAGGGAGGAAGGGATGGAAGGAGCGAGAGAGGGAAGGAGCGAGGCAGGGGAAAGATGTGGGGGAGGAAGGGCGGAGGGGGGAAGGATGGAAGGAGGGAAGGATGGAGTGGGGGAAGGGTGGAGGGGGGAAAGGATGGAGGGAGAGGAAAATGGAAGGAGGGAAGGATGGAGGGAGGGAGAGAACACTATTTTCTGCAGCTCTGGGTCCTGGCCTTTAACATATTTGGTTCTAGTAAACTACTTATTCTTGTAAGTTGTGTTTCCTTATGCCTCTTTATTCTTCAGAGGCTAACCGCTGTGCAATTTTCTTAAGCAGATGCTGCCCCCTTTTATGGCAAACCTTCTGGGTCCCTTAGAACTGAGCTCCTTAGACTCCTCCTCAGTGAGAATACAGCTCTTTGAGCTTACGTGAACTTCACCTTTTAAAAAAATGTATTTAATTGGAGGATAATTACTTTACAATACTGTGATGGTTTTTGCATGTATCAACATGAATCAGTCATAGGCACACATGTGCCCCTCCCTACTGAACCTCCTCCCCCAGCTCCCTTCTACTCCATCCCTCCAGGTTAAGCCTGTTATACAGTGAAGAGTGAAGTAGGTCAGAAAAAGAAAGACAAATTTTGCATATTAATACATGTATATGGAATCTAGAAAGATGGTACCTATGTGCAAGGCAGTGAAGTAGACAGATTTTTGGACTCAGTGGGAGGAGGAGAGGATGGGATGATCTGAGAGAATAGCATTGAAACATGTATATTATCAAGTGTGAAACAGATTGCCAGCCCAGGTTGG